GACATCGTCAAGATTTAATGCTTCATTTAACCATCCTGGCCTTTAGCAAGTTTTTCATCGGTCTTTAGCTCTTACATTTAGGAGCGTTTGTCAGATCTTTGTCATTGTAGAATTTTTGATGATGTCAAAGATTGTAGTTTCTTTCTTACCATACTTATTGTTTTAGCGGGTTATAAAGACGACCCAAACATCTATATTTGAGTCGTTTGTAAGCCTCATTATGTTGTTATAGCGAATCAGCTCCTTGGTTAATTGTTTTAGCGGGTTATAAAAGACAACCCAATCATGCGTCGTTTGTAAGCCTCATTATGTTGTTACAGCAAACAGCTCCTTTTTTTATTTTTTTTTTGGGTTTTAAAAAAAACCAAATAATTTTTTTTTTTTTTTTTTTTTTAACCTTATTTTACAGCAAATCAGCTCCTTGATTAATTGTTTTAGCGGGTTATAAAGACAACCCAATCATCTATGATTGCGTCGTTTGTAAGCCTCATTATGTTGTTACAGCAAATCTACTCCTTCATCATTTAGAATGGGTGTACTTTTTTATCCAAAACGCTAGGCCATTGGTGATTTTTGCAGTATTAAAGACATTCTTTGCAGCAGCAATGAACTTGCGCAGCTCTTGGAAATTGCAATTAGTACAGAAAGTGCATAGAGGAGTTTAGCTTTTATGGTACTTGTCCCAATCCTCAAGAAATTCAACTTGTTTGGACCAGGTTCCTCAAAGGAATTGTATCTTAATGTAATTAGTACCAGCTTCACAGAATTTTTGACTACAAGAATCTAGCTCTGAATGGATTGAGGAGTTCATGGCTCACACACACTTGACACCGACTAGAACTTAGCAGCAGTTAAAGAACTCATGACAACCTCTACGACCGATTCGATCGCAGCAGCAGTAATATTCCTACATCCTTGCCTTCAATGGAGAGCTTGGATCTTCCTACGTATCTCTCACCCACGGCTGCATATCGACGAGACGGTGGAGAGCATCCGGCCTGACGACGTCTGATAGCTTGGCACGAGATGACTACCTATGGCAGATCTATTGTAGCAAAGCTTCTCATGCACTAAGTGCAGAGAAAGACAAATGCTATGAGCTTTACGTCTCACGTCTGACAACCCTCTCAAGGCTAGCTTTACAAGCTCGTGCTTTCTAGGTGTAACAGCGACATCTCTATGAGACCAGTGTAACAGATACTTACTCCTTTTCCGAAGAAAATACGCTCTAGCAACAAATGATATACAGATCAGGTTTTAAGCTGATTTATTCGTATGTTTATCTTCTAGCACTAATATAAAAACGCCTACTCTATACTTAGTGCTAGTCACTATTAACTGGCTCTGTAGCCTTCTTACTATATACATATATGTATCCATAATACTCAAACTAAGTACTATGACCACGTGACTTTCGGCCACGACGTGAACCTATTGTACCTTAGTTATGGTCACATCAACCCACCAATCTACCTAAAGTACAGCCACACCACAATGGTGTGGAAGGTGTCTATGTACATGCACTCCTTCGTAAAACCCCGTTACAAAAACTATCCTTAGACATAGTTTATCCATTTTCTGACCTCTGACAGACCCGGACCGTGGCTGACAGTGGAGCTTAAGTCGTAGAAAGTATAATGGAGAATATATATTAGTCGGAGAAACATTAGGTAGGCTAAACTAGTGCAGTCACTAAACTAGTGCAGTCACTAAACTAGTGCAGTCACTAAACTATGCATCACTAACACCCCCAACCCCCCACTATAACTGGTTCAATCAACTGGTGCAATCAACTCGTTTAAACAAATGGTTTTTGCAGGTCATCCACGATACCACCTATATTATACTTCCCTCATGATCTGTGAGAATTAGCATGGAAATATGCGGTAGATGCTCACGCGTCTGGTCGTTTACCCTTGTCGATGGTGACAGTGCCGTTGTCATGAACTACGCGAACGAGAAATGGTCCTTTTACCACGGCGTCAGTTTTGGCACGTAACTGCTTGGGAATCCGTAGCATCACGTGATCACCTGGATTATAAAAAACGCATCGAGTCGTTTGCTGTTCCGCGGGCATTGTCAGCGAGGATTGCATCAAAACACACTTCGGAGGTAGCTCGAGCTGCATTATAAAGCTGTCGGTGATCATATCTTGCCCGAAGATAAGCTGGCCTGGAGAAGCATTAAGAAGGCTATAATAGCTGGCTCTCACGGCGGACGCAGAAATAACAAGCTTGTTAAAGCTAGCCTTAAGAGAATTGTCAGACGTGAGACGTAAAGCTCTTAGCATTTGTCTTTCTCTGCACTTAGTGCATGAGAAGCTTTGCTACAATAATCTGCTACCGTTTTTTCGAGTAATCCATGCTTGATATAGCTCCATGAGCACTTGATGTCTGACACAACTTTGTACTGGCCTTGGCTTATCCAAAAATACCATTTAATCAATTGTTGATCTCTTCATACGGAAAAATCTTGCGAAAGAGTACCTGCTAATTGGAGTAGCATTCGGTAATTTTTATCAGCTCAATTCGCTTATATAGGTCATGCATACTGAAAAAATATATTTTGCGCTATCAAGCTTAAGCTAGGTTAAGACATCGTCAAGATTTAATGCTTCATTTAACCATCCTGGCCTTTAGCAAGTTTTTTATCGGTCTTTAGCTCTTACATTTAGGAGCGTTTGTCAGATCTTTGTCATTGTAGAATTTTTGATGATGTCAAAGATTGTAGTTTCTTTCTTACCATACTTATTGTTTTAGCGGGTTATAAAGACGACCCAAACATCTATATTTGAGTCGTTTGTAAGCCTCATTATGTTGTTATAGCGAATCAGCTCCTTGGTTAATTGTTTTAGCGGGTTATAAAGACAACCCAATCATGCGTCGTTTGTAAGCCTCATTATGTTGTTACAGCAAATCAGCTCCTTGATTAATTGTTTTAGCGGGTTATAAAGACAACCCAATCATCTATGATTGCGTCGTTTGTAAGCCTCATTATGTTGTTACAGCAAATCTACTCCTTCATCATTTAGAATGGGTGTACTTTTTTATCCAAAACGCTAGGCCATTGGTGATTTTTGCAGTATTAAAGACATTCTTTGCAGCAGCAATGAACTTGCGCAGCTCTTGGAAATTGCAATTAGTACAGAAAGTGCATAGAGGAGTTTAGCTTTTATGGTACTTGTCCCAATCCTCAAGAAATTCAACTTGTTTGGACCAGGTTCCTCAAAGGAATTGTATCTTAATGTAATTAGTACCAGCTTCACAGAATTTTTGACTACAAGAATCTAGCTCTGAATGGATTGAGGAGTTCATGGCTCACACACACTTGACACCGACTAGAACTTAGCAGCAGTTAAAGAACTCATGACAACCTCTACGACCGATTCGATCGCAGCAGCAGTAATATTCCTACATCCTTGCCTTCAATGGAGAGCTTGGATCTTCCTACGTATCTCTCACCCACGGCTGCATATCGACGAGACGGTGGAGAGCATCCGGCCTGACGACGTCTGATAGCTTGGCACGAGATGACTACCTATGGCAGATCTATTGTAGCAAAGCTTCTCATGCACTAAGTGCAGAGAAAGACAAATGCTATGAGCTTTACGTCTCACGTCTGACAACCCTCTCAAGGCTAGCTTTACAAGCTCGTGCTTTCTAGGTGTAACAGCGACATCTCTATGAGACCAGTGTAACAGATACTTACTCCTTTTCCGAAGAAAATACGCTCTAGCAACAAATGATATACAGATCAGGTTTTAAGCTGATTTATTCGTATGTTTATCTTCTAGCACTAATATAAAAACGCCTACTCTATACTTAGTGCTAGTCACTATTAACTGGCTCTGTAGCCTTCTTACTATATACATATATGTATCCATAATACTCAAACTAAGTACTATGACCACGTGACTTTCGGCCACGACGTGAACCTATTGTACCTTAGTTATGGTCACATCAACCCACCAATCTACCTAAAGTACAGCCACACAACAATGATGTGGCAGGTTTGTGTGCAAAACACCTATAGATCCGATCTTTGACAGGGCGAAAGCTAAATTGTTCTGGGTCTATAAAAAGCTACAAAACTTTTGGACATTTCCAATGTTGCATATATCTGAACCCGCCAGATCAATGTATCGGAATTGAAGAATATAGGAAGTTTTAGGATACCTATAATAAGGTTGAGGTTACATATGTCGCGGCTCCGAAGTTTGACATAAATATCCCTTCGTATGAAAAAAAGAGATGGGCAAGGAGAAAAAAAGGGCTGAAAAGAAGAAGCAAATAAGCCAAGCATGGAAGCAATGGCCGAGCGTAGAAACGATAAAATAAAAGACTAAGATTTAAATAAATAAATCAAGAAGAGTGAAAATGCACATGATTTAAGTGTTGATTCCGAGCACGAATAAGCTCTATTTGAAGAGCTGCAAGCTTGGTCACGTGGAAGAAGGTTCATGGATGATATCTAACCTGCTTTGAATAAATACATAAAGATGCACATGTTTGTTAAGGCGTCGATTCTCAAGCACGATCACGTTTTACTCGACATGCTGCATTCTTTAAACTTAGTCTGAATGTGACGAGTGTACGTAATGCAGACACTTAAGCAGCATTGATGACAGTACTGCCAACCTGTTCGACCCGCATGTGCGCGCATTTTTACGTTGCCTATAATGTAGTTATACTTCCTGACAGCTACTATAGCCCATACTTTGACCAAATGTAATTGCTAATGTTTGGAATAGAATTGCCTGACGTTGCTGGTCATAAAACGTTGTTTTTGTTCTGGTATGTCAAGTCAAAGTACACTCTCATATCGCAAGTAGTAAAGTTTTCTTAGCTTTAAAGACCATTTTGAGTGGAACTAGATATTTCGCCACGCTGTATATGGCTCAGCACTTCATTGTTTTGAAGGTATGATCTGACATGGTCTCACGTCTATTCGCTCCTCCGCCCTGATAGTAGCTCTCTTTCACTCTACTTCAAAAGGCTGACTTACTTGTTCTCCACTTGCGCGCGAGCAAAAACACGCTTGATATAGGGCAACGTAGCTAACGTAATTGGAAAACGGACGATCTCGAGGCACTCGTTCACAATCACCGCAATGGCAATGTTACCATAAGTCGGGTCAAGTCTCGCCGGATCAACAAACTTGTCCAAACCCATCTGCATAATGAAGTCAATAATACTGGTGCCTGATATAATTCCTGTATCCAAAGCTACGTAGATCGATACGCCCGACACAAGGTAGAGCGATGTCCACCAAGCAAGAAACGGTAGACCGTATTGCTGCAGCGTTCCCAAGAACTTGCTGGGCTTCTTGGCCACCTCAGCTTTTAACAGCTTTACCTCGTTCTTGAGTGCCATATTTTCATCTAGTAGCTCCTGTATCTGTTGCTTTTTACTCTTTCCACTGCTCTGTAATTCCTCATCGCGTAGTGACACAAATGAGTGGACCTGAAGACTCCTACCAAACGACCTCTGCGCGCCAAAACGAAAGCTGTAGGATGTGTTCAAAGGTAAAATGGATGAAGAAGGACGTATCAGACGCTGCGCAAGCAGGACTGGACGGCGGCCGTGGAGCGTAGAAGATTGAAATAGCGAGCGGATGGCAGCACTTTGAAGCATGATGTTTGGTTTAAATCGTCAACTAGTGAAATGAATAACCAAGTGCCACACAAAACTTACAAAGTGACTAATTGATGAATTGACAAACATTCCGAATGTAGTATCAGACATGGCTACACAGGTCATGTCACACACACGAACAGCTCGCAATTTGACGCAACGTCTAGTCTTGCTCCCATATATTTGACCGCGAATACAGCATCAAAGCCGTCGTTCTTCGCTCTTGATGTCGCTCATACTGCGCTCCAAATCAAAGGGTTATTGTCGTGAGCTTTGACCACGCGTGCTAAACCGCGACTTGCACTTGTCCACTAAAGTCCCTTGATGACGTTGATGTGATTATGTCCGTCCCTTATTTGCTTTCTAGGCACAAAAAGAACCACTGCGGCCCAAGGAAGCCCTGGTGATAGAAGCGTGACAATATGTTGCTCGTTGTCTCACTCTTTGGCGTTGTTGTCTCCAGTTGGTGACATGGAAGGCGCATCGTCATTACTGGATGCTAGTCGGTTTTACCTTTCCAGCTAGCACCACCAATGGTAGATGGCTCCTGGGGTTTCTTTGCAATATCAAATGAAATCCATAGAAGCAGTGCCGCACCCGTACTTGCAAACAAAAGAGTCATAGAGCTTACAAACCAAGCCGACGGAAGATATCCGACAGGAACATGTACATCCATTACTGGAATCGAAGAGGTGGTGGTCAGACGAAGCCAGCGGTGATTACCGCTTGCTGGATGCGACATCGCCGTTAGTCCCCAGGTCTGCAGGCAACGTAATTAAATCAGTAGCAATGTCAGGCAAAGGTGGATGCAAAAAAACTTGCTCACCTGAAAATAGTTTTGTGCAGCAGCATCATCATCATTCGATATCTTCAGCTTCCTTTTGACAAAACGATCTCCATTCGGGCAGACTAAAAACAAGTCGGGAGCAATAACTGATGCTTGGCGGTACATGCCGTTTTCTGTGGGGGCTTGATATCGAAAGTGAAGTGGAAATTCTATGCGCGCTTTATTGGTTGATGGTCTGTCGATAACATACACAAAACACATAATTGTAAGAACCATAAAGACAGTTTGCTAGTTTAGCCGCGCAACAAGAGATCTTCTGCACAAACATTGTAAACTCGAGACCAACAACATATTGCGAAGATACAGGCGACGGTCGCTCAATTTCAATGTGCTTCGTAAACGATAGAAGCACGAGGTCATTATAGCGCTCCATCCTCTACAACACCAAATCGTTTTCACACGCGTACAACGTTAGAAAGCGCACTTTAGCTTACTGACCGTTTGAACTCACCCGAATCTCGTCCAAGTCCAGATACATAGTCTTAGACACCGGCACACGCATAAGGACCGTTTTATCGCTAAACGCTCCACCGCATATTCCATTTTCAAGAAGCTCCACATCCATCACATACCGACGATGGAACCCTTCTCCGACAACAGCAGCATGTACCGATGCAGCTACTGATATCGTTGACATTTGCGTCGTTATCGCAGATAGTGGAAATCCAGGTTCTAAAAGCTTGTACTCGAGTTTGTCAAAATCCTGCTCTCGAGTAGTTGATGTCACAACTAGAAAATCGCTTTTGTTTGCAAGTACTGGAAAAGTTGCCCTCCATGGTGCCTTCACCGTAGATGGTTGTGATACCCAAACCTCCATAAACTCTGCCTCAATCATCACTGCAGAATCTGGACTGCGACTGAGTTTTACCGCTGCTAAGCGGTGTCTGCGTTTACCCGTGTAGAAGTTTTGTTTAGTTTCAAGCACTGCGTTCTCTACCTCCGACATAAGTGAATCGCCCAAGCAGCCCTCTGCCTCGCCGATAATTTTGCTGAAAAGTGTACTCGCGTTTTGAGGCAACAACGGGAAGGACGAAGAGTAGCACAGACTTGGCGTTTTGTCTACACGCGTGTGTAATATCTCCTGAACTGGATTCTCTGTTGTCCAGGAGCGGAAATCGCACAATGACTTGGCCAAGAATCCTTCAGTAACCAACCGCCAATAATCAACAAGAACAGTCAGTCCCAAAATTTGATCCTTATATTCTACACGCCAAGACTGCACCTTTTGACAATTCTGGCAGGATTGAAATCGAGGGTAATACAGTGTGTAAAATTTCGCGGACATTCGTCTCAATCCTTTCATGTACCGCTTCATCAATCGAGTTCCCATGCAAACACATCTCTCATTTCGGCTTGCAAATGAATGCCTTGTGCGTTCAACCCATCAAACCTTAGCGAATTTGCCCAGAAATGATCAAAAGTCGAGCTGTGTACGTCAAAAGGCGGGATCCACACGATCTGCAGCACCAAACGTAGACCCATATTACAGTAGGTTAGCTTAAAATAGTCACTGATCGAGAAACTCTGTCGGTTTACCTCAATTGTATCAAGGACCGGATCAAAAAGTATCTTCACACAAAAATCAAAATGATATCAATCCATTCATACAAAGCATGACATAGCTACACAGAATGACGTACGTTTGATTCAGTATTGAGTTTCATATTTAATGTACCAAGAGCTCCTCCGGACGAGGCGTCGATGATTGATAAACCATCTACAAAACGTGTCAACAACTGCCCATATGATCATTGAAATAAATAGAGACAATACAACAATGTCATACCTGCACTGACGGATACTGATAGTGTTGTATCCATGTGTTGCGGCCACAATGCAAATTGTGAGTTATTGTATCCGTCAGCACCTTGACCGACAAGACCAAATACTCCTAGCGATATAGCTAAACATTGCATTGTTAATTGTGTAAATGGTGCAAAATTGTTTTGTCGAGCGACATATATATTATTGCAAAAACTCATGGGACTATTTGTATAGATTATGGAAGACAAAATGATGACTTTGTTTTACCTGTTATACTCGATAATTACTGGCTAAGAACCGGTGTCTTACAATAAGGCTCTTTTTACATAATCACAATACCTCGAATTTATTCTTTTGATGACTTCAAGTAGTCTGTATTACAATGTAAAATAATGAGGACTGTTCGGCGCCTATGCCATAATTCTATACACTGCTTTGAACTACGTAGCTACATCTTATATGATGTACAGTTGGACAGTACAAAGGAGACCACCGTACTAGAATTAGAGCTAAAGCCGAACCAGGCCAACTTCAGAGGAAGCCAATAAAGGCAAAGCGAGGACGAGCTGAACGCGGTAAACGGAATGCACAACAAACAGCGCAGAAGTGGCGCGCCTGAAGGCAACCAATAAGCACAAGCATTGAGTTCATTCTGCAAAGGCTGGGGTGAGTCGCAATGCTTCGTATCAATCAGTCGGCGTATGCCACGCACGCATTGCACTATAAACGTCGTGTAGATGATCCGAGGAGCTGATGTCAGAGACAGAGTCGCCCATTAGCAGGTAATACCGACGCTGGGCACTTCTCACATGAGATGTAGCGTGACGCAGCGAGTTGGCTGTCACAGGTCACTCACCACACCACGTCATGATAAAGCCAATCCGGTGTTAGGGGCGGTGAACGACCAAGGGCGATGGTATCAAGCCTCGTTGACGTGGCGGGGAAAGAGTGCTACCCCACAACAGGCCACAGCTTGTTTGAAGGGAGGACGCACGGATTCCAAGTCGTTAGCAGATTGGATCGCGTGGTGTGGGCAACATATCCCGGGTCGCGATTGGTGCTGAGGCGACGCGTGGCGTTGATCCTGTCATACGAGTAGGCAAGAGGATAGTTTTTGGGTTTATTAGACGTAGGGTAGTGTTGAATTTGCTGGATGGTTATTGGTGGTATTTGTACCTTAGGCCCTAGTAGTTGGTAGATAGGTACTGGTGTGTAACAACTACAGAAGTGCTCTAAGCGTAAAGGTATCCGAATCTCTTCCAAGTTGGATTGTTGGCCACCTGTTGAATAATGGGAGGTCACATACGTACAGTAGGTCACCCCTGGAAGATTTTGGCCAGAGGCTCAAGTATACTCATATTAAGTCAACTGCAATCAAACGCAGCGTTCAAGCAAGGGACCTCTACGAGACGGTTGAAGTGTTTAATATATCTACTAGACAGCTCAAGAGGACATATATGAAAGGAAGTTAAGGGTGGATCAAGTCAGCTTTAATCACCAGTGTTTACTGCGGTCGCGTGAGGAATTTCAACGCGATCCACCACCTTCGATCCATACCCCATCACGATCAAGATCGGATCAAGTTCACCAAGAAGAGTGCAATCCGCCCAGTCGACGAGTACACAAGGTGAGGAAGGACTATCATACTGTATTGGAGCACCTCCTCCGTCAGTCGACAGCTCGGGCGCCAGTGAAAGGTTGATATTAGAGAGAGTTTTGTGTGATCATTGCTCCACCAAACTTACGCGCCGAAAGGAAGGGTCAAATGAACGGATAAAGAAAAACAATGAAAGACGTCTTGGTTATATCATCACGCGGTGTACACAGTCACGATACACGTTCGTGCAGCTTGAAAGCCGCTTGAAGACGTTGTTTCGCTCGGGGCGATAGCAACAACCGCAAGTGCGGTGTCATTTTGCCCCTGCAGCTGACGTCGCATAGCCTGTAGCTGACATTGTATGGATGACCCCGCAATTTTTCAATATGGAGCAACGAAGAGATCTTCAAGACTTGACGTGCCTCTCCACAAATTACATCGACACCATTTAGATACTCGAGGAGGCGCTCTGGGAAGCGGTAGTAAACGTTTTCGTGTAGCTAAAAAGAAGCGCTAATTCGACGGGAGGGCCAGGTAAGCTATAAGCGCTCTGGTGTGCCAAGTTGTCTGAGTTGCAACACAGCGCAGCTAAAAATTTTATAACGACAAAATTCAATCAAGACGGTTCAGGCAAGGCCGTGGACTGGTGTATAAACGGTCGTCAGTGTAGTGAGTGCGCCGGTCAATAATAACACCTAGCTCACCCATTCAGATCATACAGGAATTGCGTCCCAGAAGAACCAGTAAGCGTGGCTGCGACAAGTCAAGACTACGGTTTAGTGGCGTATTTGAGTCACCAAGGCCCATGTGCGTCGTATTATCGTATAAGCGATCAGTTACAAATATATTGTACAATTCTGCTTTATCGTGGTGACTACACGTTGTAATACAAACAGGGAAAACGTTGGAAGCCAAAAGGAAGACTAGATAGCGTCCTGAGACAGTCAGCTCTCGAAGCTTTGATCATTCACTGAGAAGCGCAATAAGTACTCACCCAGACCGGTGTAGAGCCAATGGCTTCCAAGTCGCTGAAGAAGAGTCTGTGCGTAAAAAGTGTGCAGACGTAAACTTTAAGGGCATTAAGATGATGGCTATTTCGGCAATGTGGTCTTTTGGAGGCATGAAAGACTGTATTTTTGCGATTAAGTGCTTGAGCACGTGTCCGTTCTTCTTAATTCTGTTGGTAACACTCGTTAGTAAACTGACACTGTGTCACGAAACCTCAGATGCGCCTTTTCGTGGATTTACCTTAGTAGCTTGGTGCAAGAGGCCCAGCTACCAGCACAGGCCAATTATATAGCTTAATGGATATGGAGCATCTCATCATTTTCAATGAAGAATGGCCACAGTTTTGAAGGTACTTTGGGGTACCCCCTCTGACAGTAGGCAGTCCGGCACAGTGAGTGGCTTGGGGTCTCATTACGCAGTTTTGAGAACCCACTCCACCACATTATTCCTGGGACTGCGGTCACGCATCTCGTGTGTTGAACGCTAATAGGTTATAGATAATTAATGTATAACATAGTAATGGTACACAGTAGTACATACCCGGAATTATTTAATGAGCATTAGCGAGTCGAGGTGTACGACGTACGACTACAAAGGACCGCCACCATGCGTCGGTGGTGACCAAAAGATCCAGATAAAGCTGAAGACCAGCCGTTACTTCAGCAGTCGACATCTCGCTTATGATATCTTGGATCAGAGTCGGCTTCTTATCCATGAAACCGTAGTGTGGTACTTGGTCAAGAATATGCTAGCTTTCTTTGCAGCTAGGTCGCGTGGTGGCTGCACATTGCGCGGCACAATATGGAACAGCGGAAGCGCGGCTGCAGCAATCGTTGCAGGACAGTTCTCGAAATCGACTTTAACCTAGCACTTCGAAGTAGTTGCTTGTTGTAAGGCTTTGTACGGGAGTTCATTGTTAATATAACGATGAGGATGTGGAGGTTGGTGAAACCAGATGGTCTCTGAAGGCCTGGGGGTAGATGTTAAAGGTTGGGCAGAAAGTATGGTTAATGTTGAAAATCCGAGAAGCAACTTCAACATCAGACGGAGTGGTCCAGGCTAGATGTCGTAGTAGAATACTGTGAAATAGAACCTAGCATATGTATTATGAATGTCACTTTCCTATTTCCTTTTACCTCACAAGGTCAGCTTGCACACACGGAAGCAACGCATCCACTAACAAGCCTCCATTCATCAGCACGTAAGAGTTTGCCATCGCGCTTAGCATGAACGCTGATTGAGAAGCCAATGTTTGGTTTGGTGGTAGGGATCAAAAGAAGCTGAGCCGAGCGTGGACTGCAGGGAGGTGACACGATTTTGGAGTCAATGGCGGCGAGGGATAGTTTGCTGGGCGCTTAACTCGCTTTAGGAGAAGCTGCTGCGGGGACATCAGTAGTGACCGTGGCAGAGCAAGCTCGGATTAATTGCTAAAGTGAAGTCTCATGCGTGCCCTAGCATACCACGGAAACATCAGTTTAAAAAGGCCAATCGGCAGAAGACGGAGACCGCTAGGGCGAGCTAAATAAAATGTTACAGGTTTACGCAATGTAATTTTAGCCAATGATAATGTAGCAAAAGGGAATAGGAGAATCTGTCCACTCAGTACAAAAAGCGACAGTCAAGTACAGGTATTTAGTATGGCCGACATCCAGAACTTCCAGACCTTCGGTGAGTTGCTATGGCTTCGACTGATCAAGACTAAGACTGTTTTCTTGTTAGAAAGATGTAGAAAGATGAGTTTGGACATCTTAAACCCTATACTTGTGCTTTGCAGACGCCTTTGCTGATGCCAAGGATGACTCTAGTATCGGCGGAGGGAAAGTGCACGTGCGAGTGCAGCAGCGAAACGGTCGCAAATGTCTAACGACGGTGCAGGGACTAGCTGATGATTTGGACGTGAAGCGCATCCTGAAGGCATTTAAGAAGAATTTTAGCTGCAATGGTGCTATCGTAAAGGACGACGAGCTAGGCGAGATTATCCAGCTCTCAGGCGACCAGCGGACTAACATCCGCGAGTTTCTGTTGGACCAGGAGATTTGTACGGACGCCCAAGTGGTACTGCACGGTTTCTAAGCTGGTTGAAGCGTCAAGCGCTTTACCCTTGTGCTAACGCTGCTAGCAGCGTCATAAGACGTCGTACAGCTTTTGACCTAAAGGTTTTGGTGAGAAGGGAAGAACCAGTCAAGGCGAGAACCTCCCTCTTTCTGTCTCTCGGTGGCTGTTGAGGCAATATATTTGATGCTTTTTTGTTTAGAAAGCTACTGTAGCGATAGTGCAACCTTTTGGTGATATTCACACGTAATGAACGAGAACACGTGAGGTTGCACAGTCTAAAAAGCAGCATAGTACAACAATTACTACGTGCGGTCACTAATCTTGAACTCCGGAAAGTCAAGGTCTGGCTGCCAAATTCCCTGAATAGTCAGACGCTTCGAATAGACAGGTTTCTTAATGTGCGTCATTTTGCGGCCACTGGAGTCACGAAGGCGCGTTAGCTACGAAACAACATATCACAAGCAGCAAGTCAGAAACAGCATTAGACCGACCATCAGCTCTCCAAGCAGTTTTAAACTTGAGCCTCACCTGTTTCATAATGAAGGCAATGTCTTGGTTCTTAATATCCGACACTTTGCGTTCATTTTTCACTGCACAAATACCATTCATGACCTTATTTAATCTCAGCATTGCACGAAAAGTCAATCCTACGCTCTGTACGTACCATAATCTCCAATGAGGATAGGGTGACGTGCACCCTTGAGCTCAGTCTCGAAATGCACCTGCGGATTCTCCTCTACAAACTTGAGAAAACGATGATCACCCAGAAGCTGCCGCACATAGCGACTACTACCACTGTGTTGACAGTAACGGATCGTCACCTGCTTGAGCTGCCACACTCCCTTTGTCGCCATCCTGCCTGTTATAATGTTGAGGTTGGTGGCGTACGGTCATCTATGTGTGTCACTCGACATTAGCCATCTCATTTAAGTACGTTGAAGTCAAAATGACGGTCTGCCGCACTGCCAATTTATAGTGCGGCAGACCACCGTTCTCGTCCGGGCATGCCTGCTTCAGACGTCGAAGAGGTGGAGAAGACCGACGTTGACAGCTTGCTACGACTTGTTCGTGCTCATCAGTGCCAGCATGACGACCATACTTATGACTCTGGCGCGCCCGCTGCTATCCATCGGTGCAAGACTATGCTGACCAAGTTGCGGAAACTACTACCTAAGATCATGCGTCCAGTGGCAACACTATCTACGGAAATTGCTGTCCCTATACTTGTAGATCTATGTCAACTTTTGACACTGCTGCTCGGCGGTGGGGTATGTCCACACTCGATGACGCTCTTCATGGAGAACAACACTGGAGCAGTACGCGGAGAGAACTCGACGTCTTCAGGCTTTCCATCCTATCCGACAATTTCTACCATGATTTTTTACATGGTATCATTCTATACGAACGAAAGACTTCGACAGGCACAGCGAGATGTGCGTAACGTGACGTTACAGATGGTGCTATTTTTACAAAGGAACGACATTTATGGATTTCTTCATTTCTTTCGTGATACAGTGCAACTACTGGAGGACTGTTTCTTGTTGGAGGAATCACTGAAGGATAGAAATGTGACGACTAGTACACATATCGAAGCGACTATCGCGTGTTACTTAGATACAGCAATTCATGTATACCATGACGCGGTTGGACCGCTGGGTGCAAAAAATAATGTCATACTGTGTGGTTGCATACCGATAAGCGATATGACTCAGCTTTACGAACGCAGGGAACAATTGAAGCAAATGCTGCCGTCTATCCACGTCAGCTCGTATGAAATGGTGGTGGCCCTTCGACAATCTGTGGTTGTCTTGGCGGATCGGATCATTCGTCAACATAGCACAATATTGGAAAAGGACTTATTTTTTGGCAGATTATGCCAACTTGTGGAGCTTTTTATCGTCAAGAATAAAGAGTTTATCAAGAGCACTGCTGGGACGCACGGGGACAGTGCTGTCTCAAGTGAAAACGCACATGAGGTTACTCGATGCACGTTTCGACTGTTGTACACAATGCTGCAGACAAGCTTGTTTATAGAAAGACGTTTTGTCCGCCTGACCCTAGTGTACTTGAAGTCTAGTTTTCTTCACGAAACAACCCCGCAAATGTTGAAAGTATGCGCTCCAATTTTTGAACTGCTTGGCATTACTTACCCTCGTCTCTCTACTTTTGCCACCGATGCTATGTGGCCACATTTCGAATTATGGGTGTCTAGAAATATGCATCTTGTTCGAGGCTCTGATAAGGAAAGCACATCCTGCGGTGAAACAATTTGGATGTCGGTGCTTTCGATTTTGCGAGTGTACGCTCGTCAATCTGATACTTTGCCTCCTGCGTCATTATTTGTGGGCTTGCTAGACTATTTTGACATCAGAGTGTCCAATCCAGTGCTCATTTCGAGCGTTGTCGATGGCATCCACCGTGTATTATCGACAAAGGAAATGCTGGCGAAAGTATGTTGCTTTATATCGAAACAGCTAGTGAGCAAAGGGCCAAATATGGTAGCAAGGCCAAGTCAATATACTGACACAGCAGGAAAGCGAAAACGAAACGAAATGTCCTCGTGCAGGCAAAGTCGGTCTTTGGATTTATATCACAAGAATGGCACTGAGTTGCATGATAGATTAGGCGAATGGATGTTGAACCTCATTACGGTCGAGAGTAATGACGGAAAAAGCGTAATAGCGATTTCCACCGGTCTGCGAATAATTCTGCCGCTTCGTCGCTACATTCTAGCCTTTGTTCGATTAGAAAGCTTTGCTATCTTTCGGGCACTACTTCAGCGTGTTGATTTGATTTTAAACACCTACGCACCGCTGCTCACTCCCCTTACAAATGAATATCTGGACTTATGGATTATCCTGCTGCGGTATTTTGACAATCACGAGCTTGAAAAACACCGTGACCTGTTGAGCAAAGTTATTGAAAGTGTGGAGACTCAGCAGATTTTTGCACGAAGCGTTGAAAGAGACAAAGAGTTTGTTGTGCCAGACTGCTGGGAGTATCTGGCTTTCTTAGACTTGTATCAAAGTTGCCCAAAATGCTACGATATGTCTCCATCGGAGAGGCTAGACGAAGTGTCGTACGATTATCTTTGTAGCGCAAATGCTGTACTGGATAATATTTTTAGGAAACCAATGGCCCTCCATGGCCCATTCTTAGTGTACTTTGTGTGGTCACGTCCTGTAATGCTCAATATTGTTGATGAGGATTCCTGGCGAAACACTGTTCCATGGAAAGTTTTGTGCCGGACTATATTGCAGGAAGCATCATCTGATGTTGCAGTGTGTTCTTACCTTGTGATGTCTCCGCTGCTAGCTTTTTTTGCCGTGGCTGGATCGCTAACGTCATCAAAAAAGATGACTACGTGCATTGTGGAGGCTTTCAGTGGCAAGATACAACGCACGGGATCCGAAATGGTTTTATCTGTCATAACACAGTCGTGTGCGGCAGTACTCTGTGCAACAGCATACGGTCACGAGCGCGTTGATGGAACAGACTATTTCAGCGGCAAAAAACATACTGCTTCCCGTTCTGGCGTTAAGACTTGTCAGTGTCGAAAGATCACCGGCAGCTTCCAAGTGTTGCCAATTCCGCTAGTTTTGTTTGAGCCAATTATTTGTGGCGAGATAGATTGCGCTGCTGAAAGAATGCAGGTAGTAAAAGTTAGCGCGCTCTCGAGTGTGCTGGAGCATTGCGAAGTCGATTACAGAAACGATCAGACTGCCATGCGATTCGTGAAGCACCTTCTAGCCTGCTTTGCGGATCCGTCTAGACTCGTTCGTCAAGCAGTACTGGAATTAATTGTTAATCAACCACGTCTTCTCGATGCGATGATTGACCCGGTGGAGGAAGGCGTTGTTGGACTGATGGAGCGCGTGGAGGCAATGGTGACCGCGGCAGAAGACAGTTCTGATGATAGTATCATGATAGCAATGATGATCACGTTGGGTACTCTTGGCTGTCAATGTGATCCGCAACAAAGAGATCGTACAGAAAATTGCATGTGGATTCTTTTACGCTTGGTATCACTCTGGAATCGGTTTATTATCACGCATCGGGAGCGACTCGCCGTGATGGCTTGCGACCAGATATGTCGTATTACTACGCACCATCGGGTATCGTGGAGACGGTTATGCGTTGACTATCCTGACTTCCTTTACTTTCCCCTCGTCGATGAACTTTTGGACACTAAAACCCTAAAGCTGTTCCTCTGCACATTCATGGGCGGAAAGGTCGCAACTAAAGTTTTCTTGCGCGAGAGTGCACCGTACGTTCTTCCACATTACGTTGTTCATCAAAATGAACGAATGCTGCATGCTTTTCTTGGCATATTCAACGGACAGGAAGATGATGTTATAATGACTGAGAGTGGTGCAGAAGGTAAAGCTCCAATGAGCATTACTAATTTTCTTTTGAACTACGTTGACCATATACTGAAAGACCTGATCATTCATCAGGTGCAAGCAGTCTCGAACCAGAACCGCCTGGCAGAATGGGAGTTTTTGTTTAAGTTTTTGCCGGAAAACTCTACCGTTCGTGATGTAATTATGCATTCATCACTGCGGCTAATGAACCTGCTAGTGTGGGAACTCGGCGGGCCTCAATGTCGCATGGCAAAGCGGGCGATACGAGAAGTGGCGAACTATCTGCGTGAAGATTCGCGTGAGGCTGGAGTAATTGAACAAAATGCGAGCCTATTACAACTAGGGGAAGGGTGTATGCCTCGCCAGTATTTTTTGGCGCTCATGACGGACCTAGGAAATCGAATGAGCAGCACAAAATCGACTGCCACTAAGATCCGGGCTATTAAAAGCGTTGATCAATTGTTCGAAATTTTCTCCGGTTTCTCTCCAGATTCAATCAGCATTCAAGGTCATGGAGTGGTCGATGCCTTTGTTCCTAAAGTAATGGCAACTCTAAAGATTGGTCTTGCAGAACGTGAATTACGAGAGCATGCCATTCATGCATGGGGAAATTTTCTGCGAATGCTGTCGTTTAAGGCGTTGGAGTCAAACCTGAGTTCTATTGTTGTTAGCTTGCTTCCGTGCCTCGGCCGCAAGACATCAGCTGTATTGGTTGAAGATAGTTTTGTTTGTGGTAGTCGCTGCTGGAATCTGGAGTTTCTCGAACGTGTCAATCGTGATGTTAGAGCGGAGGTCATGCCGCCGGGTGACCGTGACGAAGTTGAAACGAAGTGTATGGTGGCAGCCGTGGATATTTTACGATATTTATTTATCGAGAAGCAAGCTGAGCTGAAGTTTGCATTTCCGAAAATCCCATTACTACCTTCTATTCCGGAACTAGATGAAATTTACGTGGCGCTTTATAAGGAAGATGGAGATCCAAGGTGTCGTCCTCTAAGCGATTATTTGATGGATCTATCGGCCTACGCCAACCATCTTGATGTAGCAGTTCGTGAAATGGCTCTGACGCAATTACTGCGATGTTTGGTTGTACGTGGCACCGAGTTGGAGATTCTAATGCAAAATGAAGGAAGCATTTATATCAACAGAGCAGTTGCTAGCGTGGTACAGTCAGTGTTGCAGGTCTCACGTGCAGACAGTCATGAAACTATAAAACTTCTTTGCGCTCGCTGCTTGGGTGCCTTAGGCGCAATTGATAGCGCCCGCGTACCGTTGAGTATGTTTTACACAGCTGGCGGGCTTCACACAGGCAATACAGTCAACAAAGAGAAGGTGTGTCAAAAAATTGAACACTCGACGAAGGATTTAGCATGTGTTCTTATAGAGACATGGTTGGTCAAGGAGCTTCGCGCAGCGCCTGAGAATACGGATTCGTTGGCATTTGCAATTCAGGAGTTACTGAAGTTTTTGGCCGAACTAACAGCTGATCCACAACAAAGTGGTTTGAGTTCGGTATCGACCAACAACTTTGGTTCGTCATTCAAGTCACGGCAAGACCTTAATGCTTCTATGCCTGAGTGGATGAAAAGACGATTTGAGCGAAAAGACGTTCTTCAGTTTGTTGAGCCATATTGGTCAACGAATTACTCTATTTCAGGTAGCAGATCTTCACGCCGCCACAATGAATGCGGCTCTGACCGCCGATCAGCCGCAAGCGCTGGTCGAAACGTGCGCCCTACCCGGGATGATTGCTCCTTTTTTGAGACATATGGAACATCATATGAAGAGTGGCTGTTGATGTGGTGTCGGCGATTGATTCACCTTTCCCAGCCGCCAGAGCGAAAGATCTTTCGGGCGTGCGAAACTGCGCTTGCTACGTGCCCTCAAATATCCCGATTCTTGCTGCCTTACCTTTTTCAGAATGTCCTCCGATCTGGTAGGTCTGAAGTCGGTGAGGAGCTCAAAAAGGAAGTCATGGCGATATTAGATGGTCAAGATTGTGGAATTTTGATGGATGACTTTCTGACGAGTCTGCACGAATCCGAGCAAATGAATGACTCAATCAGCGCTGGTGGTGGGATTTCTAAAAATGCTATTGGCGATTACCATCGTTTTGATCAATGCTCCCAGACCATTTTTTCGACAATTGATGAGCTAAATGAATGGGTTTGGACAAGCGAGAAGAAGCGTCTTGCCCTCAGCAGTAGTGCTGCGAGTCGTCATACGTCTGCTTCCAGCCGAAGCGATTTGCCTTCAGAGATTGATGATCAAGAGAAGGATTACTTGGACGAGTTTTTGAAAGATATTCCCAGTCGGTCATTGTCACGAGCAGCTTATAAAATTAAAGCCTATGCTCGGGCAATTCAATACTTTGAAGTTTATCTCCGGCAGCAAGACTTTATTCCGACTGAAGCAAGCGACAGTAATATTGAGATTGCCGGCCCAGTCCACCTTTCTTTGATATCAAAAAATGCTTTTTATCTCCAGCAGCTGTACAAAAGTGTCGATGAACCAGATGCGCTTATCGGTTTAGCGTCGTTACGGCGCTTCTACGACGCATATCGGCACAATGATACCGGAGGGAACCTGAAAGGTGAGATCCAAGAGGAGGGATTAAACCTTACAGACCTGATGCATCAAATTGTCGATCACGAGCAGCTTGCTCAATGGGAAGACGCATTGGCTTGCTATGAGCAAGCAATCCAAGAAATCCAGTCTGCACTGTCGTGTAGATCACTACCCAATAGTAGACCAGACTATAGCCAGCTTGCGATGATGCAGCCTTCTGTGCAGCTTTTGGATGCAGTTTCGCACAAAGATCCGGATATGATAAAGCCTGAGTTATATTCAGGAATGATTGGTTGTCTTATTCAACTTGGGCGCCTCGAAAGTGCTTTGCAGCATATCAACGGTATTGTTACACAAGAACCGCAATTCATGGCTACGATGTATCCTTTTGCTCTAGAGTGTTCTTGGCGCCTATCTCGATGGGACTTACTCACCGAACTGCTGAGTGCTGAAAAGCAAAACCCACTACTTCACTCTTTGGTTAGCGCATCTGATGGTTCAGTTAGCGCTCGACTAAAAGGGTTTGATGTTTCACAACTAATGCTTGTTCGTGTGTTGCATAGCTTACATGGTGACCAGCACGAAGAATTTCAGCGTCACTTGAAAGCAGCACGGTTAGAATTGATGGGACCCCTCGCAGCGGCATCTGCTGAGTCATATCAACGCGCATACCCCCTTCTTCATGATCTTCATTTTTTACACGAGGCTGAGCAGGGTTTCATATTTCTGCAAACAGTGAAGCAGTGCGATGACCTTGGACAACGCAGTGTTCTTTGGGATAAGCAAACTCCTTGGAAGGTGCGCTATAACTCGATGGCAACGCAACTTAAGTACCGCGATCCGATACTGGCGCTCCGCCGGGTGATTTTGCACGAGGCAGGGCTTCGAAACGAAGTTTCTGAGAACTGGTTGATGTACGCAAAGCTAGCGAGAAAAGAGGGGTTTATTCGCACAGCCACAAGTGCAGTGATGCATGCCGAAGCGCTGGACAACCAGTACGCGCTTATAGAAAAGGCCAAGTTACTTGTAAGTCAGGATCGGATGTATGAAGCGTTGCAAATCCTCGAGCCCGTAGACATCGATGCGTCTATGTTGGATTTTGATGTTGAAGACCCTCACTTCTGCGCAAAGAATCTGCTCTTGGCGACTAATTGGATGCAAGAGTCTGGCCAGCGACAAGGTAAAAAGGTGATTGAGAGATATGAAGCAGTCATCCGCTTTGATCCGACATGGGAAAAAGGATACTTTTTTCTCGCGAAATACTACGAGTACTTGTTGAGTGTAAGCCACCCTGACGCTCTTAGTGGGTCAATGGGTAGTGACGAGGTGGCTGATCTTTTGCTGGATTCGGTGTTTCACGTTCAGCTAATCAATTTGATGAAAAATTATGTGCTCGCACTGGCACATGGTACGAAATATGTGTTTCAGTCCCTTCCGCGGCTACTAACACTATGGTTTGAGTATGGTGAAGTGCTTTATGCAAGCAATAGGCCGACAAAAAATAAAGCGAACAAGGCCTTGCGGCACATCGAGATTGGATTGAGTCAGTCCACTACCCAACAGAAGGTCCTCGATGATATCACAAACGTTGTGAATGAAGCCGCCAATTCTTTGCCTGCTTATGAGTGGCTCGTGTGCTTTCCACAAGTAACGTCGCGCATTTGCCACCCTAATCCGGTTGTAATTGACGGTGTCAAGAAGATCATGCTTCGGGTGCTCATGGCTTATCCGACACAGGCAATGTGGCCTTTGCTTGGTCTCTCGCGATCGTTGAACCTTCAGCGGCGAAATTGTGCACGTGAAATCATCTCATGCATCCAGCACGAGTTTCTTTCAAAGGGCCTAAAAGAAACTGCAGACAGTTTTTCTGAGGGAATGCGAATGGCTGAAGAACTTATTAGCCTTGCAGCGCATGACCCCGGCAACGGTCAACGCAAGATTCACATTCGGTTGAGCCGAATTCGGACCAGGATTTTAGTGCCGATCCAGATGGCTTTGACCACAATTTTGCCAACGACTGGACTTGCCCCTCGCGACGAATTTCATGTTGCCTTTTCTTCGAGTGCGCAAATTTACATAAAGGCTTTTAGTGACAAAGCGGATGTGATGATGACGAAGGAGAAGCCCAAACGCATCGAAGTTTTAGGCACCGATGGACGATTGTACCCATTTTTGTGCAAGCGCGAAAAGACTGGCGACCTCCGCAAGGATGCGCGTATGATGGAGTTTAACTCGATGATCAACAAGCTTCTTCAAAAGGATCGAGAAGGCCGCAAGCGCAAGCTTCGTTTGCGTACATACGCCGTGGTGTGTCTGAATGAAGAGAGCGGGCTGATGGAGTGGGTGAGACATACGAAAGCCATGCGTCAGCTCATCGGCCAAATTCACAAAACTGAACGTGGTTACATACAACCTGTCCGATTGACACACGAGATTAAGGAGCGGTATCTCAACATGCAGAAAAAGTTTGCAAACGATCCTCCAGCAATGGCACGGTACTATCGTCGCAAGGTTTTATCCTTGCCGGTTTTTACGCCCCGATTTCACCAGTGGTTTTACAACAACTTTGCCGACCCAACTGCATGGTTTGAGGCTCGGCTCGCATTTTCGCGGTCAGCAGCCGTGTGGTCTATGGTGGGGCATGTCGTCGGCCTTGGTGATCGTCACGGTGAGAACATTTTGATAGACTCGACCAACGGTGAGTGCGTGCACGTGGACTTTGACTGCCTTTTTGACAAGGGTCTGAAGCTGGCAAAACCCGAAATTGTGCCATTCCGTTTGACACCAAATATCATTGATGCTTTCGGAATTACGGGGTACGAGGGTGTTTTTCGTCGTGTAAGTGAAGTAACGATGCATTTGCTTCGCGAAAACAAGGAAACACTGCGAAGCGTGTTAGAGTCGTTCATCCACGATCCATTAGTGGAGTGGGGCAGGCGCGGCAAAGCTACGCAGAGCAGCAGTGGCTCAAGTAAAAACATTGCTGAAATCTCTAGCGAGCGCAGCAAGATGGAAACACGACTTGTTCTCAAAGCTATCGACGATCGGCTGCGCGGCGTTTACAACCTGGGCGATGCCATCCGTCCACTGGTATCACCAGCGCATCGGAGCATTTTACCAGAGATTGAAACATTGCCACTTTCCGTGCAAGGACAAGTTGAGAAGCTTATTCATGAGGCCACGTCGCACGAAAACCTCGCTCAAATGTACATTGGATGGATGCCGTTCCTGTGAGACATCGCTGTCCAGTAGCTAACAGCAGAAACCCCGTGTTCATTCAGTGGGGTGTCAACAAAATAAAAGCTACTTTTATAATGCACAAAGTAGCAGCTACAACTCAGACTTGGAGTGACGTATCTATTGCAGAAATTGGTGTTCCCAAAATTCAGTGCAAATATTGACGAAGCATGGATGTGATCGCGGTCGGGACCGGCACCATCGACGTGATCCATGAGGTGGATATGTATCCAAAAGGTATGTTGTATCTTATGATGGTCAGAAAGAATATATTGATTGATAGCCTGCTTTCTAGAGGACTCCAAGACCCGATCATTAGCGTCGTACAAGTGCCGAGGTGGAAACGCTGCAAATGCATTGGTAACAGATTTGATAATTTTACAAATACTCAGTCGAGGAGTATATATTATTTGTGTCACCTAAGAACTAATTCTATTCTATGTGCATATGCAGGTAGTTTGTTCCCAACTTGGTGGTCGATGTCGATGGCTGAGCACATCGACAGACCCAGAGAACGATAGCGATGCTAAGTTTATTCATGCTGATTTGGCTGCGTTTAATGTGGACTGCTCATTGGCGGTCATTGAGAAGGAAGGCAGCATGCCTGTATCGGTAGGTAGTTGCTACTTGTGATAAGATTATGTTGCTGTTGTCTTATCTTTCTGTGGGTGAGGGCGTCATCTATAGTACATTGTTTCAAGTCAAGCAACAGGGTCACGCACGATTGTGCACTCCCACACTATTGCCGAACTCACTTATGAAGCATTTGTGCGACAAGTGGAGCCGTACATGACGCAAGATACAAACGTGTGGCTTCATTTCGAAGGACGGAACATGGAAACTGTAAGGCAGATGATGCTGTATGTACGAGAAAACGCAGCGCGCGCGAAAGTTTCGGTTGAGATCGAATTTCCGAGATACCCTTGGGGTCTAGCCAAAACGTAAGATGCATGACTATCTCAGCCAGGTTTCATGTTGGTCTGACCGTTGTGTGTTTGATGTCTGACTTCTGTAGACTGGCATCGCTAGCGGACTACGTGTTCTTGTCCAAGGATTACCTTTATAATAATGTGTGCATATCGAATGCAAGCGACTTTTTTGCGCAAATTCAAAGGCAGCAATGGGGCGAGAACTGGAATCAGTGGGTGAAAGCATTTGTTTGCCCTTGGGGATCGGAAGGGGTTTATTATCTCGAAATGGCTGGCTCAACGATTCATCATATTCCCTCTGCTCAGCTTGACCGCGTGGTAGAATCCAACGGTGCTGGAGATTCGTTCATTGGGGCAGCTCTTGCAGGGTTATCTCGTGGAAATGTTCCATTACACGTGGTGTTCAAGACAGCATGCCATGTAGCGACTTTCAAATGCTCACAGCATGGGTTTCATCTTCCCACCCGTAAGGTCTTGGAGTGGAAGAGGGCTCTGCAGTATTTCAAGCAAGCCAACGATACAAACGGTGCCTAGACAATTATGGATGTTGTGGAACCTCAAATCTTAACCATAAAACTGATGTGTCTGAATTTGATTGACATGGCCGCAGCTGTCACAAGCAACAACCATCAAGGACAGGCTAATGCTGAAAGTGTTGTACCGACAGAACATAGCGTAACATCCGAAGTAGTGCTGGAACTGGACCGGGCAGAGTGCAGAAGCCGAACAGATACAGACAGTTTTTCCGTTTTCGTCGTCCCGCTGCTGCCGACCTTCACAGAAGACGATGATGGAGATGTCATCGTGCCTCGAAGAAAAACAAAAACGCAAAGGTATATGAGTATCGTTTGTCAAATCTTTGTGTCAAGCAAGCAATGAAAATGCTTATGAGTCCGACAGAGACACCGAAACTGTGTTTGTTTTAGCAGCGCACAGTCGTACGACATGGGACACTGCAGGCACGCAGCTTTGGCGAGCAGCTTTCCTCCTGGCAGAATACATCTACAGTGCACCGGCTAGTTACTGCCAACTGATTGCCTGATCAAGTTTCCAACTTTTGACGCTCGTGTCTGGCAATGATATACAGGAGGTTTTCGCTGGACATACAGTTCTCGAGTTTGGCTGTGGAATTGGTATTGCTTGCTTTGATGTTTGTAATTCTATTCGTGCAGCTTATTTGTAATGCCATAGGTTTTACGGCCATTGTGGCTTCCCGTGTAAGTCGCTGCATTTACGCCACCGATTTGGACGAAAGCGCTCTGCTTTTAGCGAAGAAAAATATTGAGCGCAACCACTCTGTACGGCTGGTCTCATTTTTGTTGGCTTATTCGTTGTTGACTAGGACGACAAACATTATTGATGTTGCTATGGTTTAACAGGGTGATGTGAAACTCCGCTTGCTGGATTGGGGTGAGAGCAGCTTAATTTCAACGGCCGTTGACTCTTCAGCAACTTTGTTTGGCTGGACCTCAACCGACCGAGTCGAGCTGGAAGACCTGACAGTCATCATTGCTAGGTCGGTCAAAAATCGTGCTTATTGTAGCGTGTTACTGGTAAACTAATGTTCGTCCACATGTGCATCAACAGCGATGTTTTCTACGACGATACCATGACTCTCGTGTTCTTACGCGCTCTCCGTCGTCTCATGCTGCAGCACAACCGCGCAAAAGGTTATGTCGCGTCAGAACGACGTTCAGTTTTCTCCGCTGCAGCCATGCGCGTTGTCTCACTAGGATACGATACCTTTCAAGACCATATTTGTTTGCACTCTTCGAGCAAGTCCCACGTGCGTGTCACAGAAAATCAAGTTCAGTGTCGACTGTGCGCTCTGTCTCATCCAAGAAATGCTGATGGTGACATATTGCGCTTCGTTGTCCATGAGATCGAAACACGTGAGATACCTCGGCGTTTTAAGTACGACAGACTAGCAACTTTAATGCTCTGGAAAATCGATGCCGTCGTTGTTTAGTAACGTAAGTGGAAAGAACGACGGCACTTGGAACCTCTTTCTCTCGCTATCATTCGCAATAACAGGCATGGATGGTAGCACATTCATGAACACAACTGTACACTTGTCCAGTTTCTGCATCATGAAAGTACTTTTCTACTTGAATTATGAAAGTTTCGCGGCTCTATTATCTCTGGTATTTGATCTTGCGCGGCATCCAAGACTAAAATTTTAACAGATAACGCTTTCAGACCAGCAGCAAAGTGACAAGACCATTTCCGTACGACCGATCAATCTGCACCAAACCATTCGCCACCAGCGAGTAAAGCGCACGGATCACTACCCCATTGCCATTTGGCTTGCCGTGGTCCTTAAGCACTTCGCTGGCTTCCTGCTTCAGCTCATTCACTCCCATCTCTCCTTCGTGTTCAAACAACAAGTGCAGCAACACCGCTTCTTCGCGCAGCGTCGGCGGATTAGTATCTCGCGCTGTCAAGAGCTGCACGTCAACCATGTGCCGCATCTTCCTCTTCTGTCGAGCCAGCTCCAATCTCAATGAGTCCACACGTGTCTGCACTTGCGACCTCTCTTTCTTCACCTCCACCACCTCTTCCTTCAAAGCAGGTAGGTCGCGGACATTCTCGTCCAGCTTTTCCTCCATCTCGTCGGCCTCAATGATCTCTCGTTGCAGCATTTCCTTCTCCTCCCTCAGCTCTCTCAATACTTGTTCTCTTGCCGCCGCAGCAGCGTCCGCATGAACGTCCACACTTTGCTCATGCTGCTGCTTCTTTTTCTCTGCTATCTCCGCACTGCGTCTCGCCTTTTTCCTCTGCAACGAAGCGATAGCGGCCTCAATATCTCGCTTCTCCTCTACACGTAGGGCTACAGCTTCTTTAAGCTCCGCAATCTCTGACAGCTTTGTGTGTTCATCCTGATCTTCATCTTCTCCAGACTCGTCCTGCACCTCATCAGCAGCGCTCTCTGTCCTCAGATCCTGCAACTCCACTTCCCGTGCCGCTACGCGCTCCTCTCTGATCTGCATCTGCTGTTCCCAGGCTGCCTCCTCCTGCGCCAGCTGTCTTTCTACTCGATCCTGCAGCGCCACTTCATCCCCCGTCTGGCGCAGCTTCTCCTGACAAAGCCGAACCGAGTCAGACAGAGCTTCAAATCGTCGCGTCAGGCGTTCGCATCGCTCTAATGCGTCCCTTGACCCCATTTTCTCCAAGATCTCCTGCGATAGACGATGCAGCATTATCTGCCATGTTTCTTGGTTGTTTGCATCGCTTCTCTTAGCAGCATAGGCGGATCTAGAGATCACTGAGTAAAGGGACTGGGATGATGGAGACACGGTCTTTGACAACGTTTTACGCGGCTTTATAGGGGAGTTTGAGGTTCGCAAAGGAACTGATACACGTGCCAGTTTCTTCCGTATCAGAAGAGACCCAATGGAGGAGCCAATTTGACGAAGATCATCTGCACAAGCCTCTAGACGATGAGCATCGTCGTCGAGCCGCTGACGCTTGCGTTCTGACATAAAGACAAAATTAATTATTGTGTAAATATGTAAGACGAGACACGAGGTAAGTTCTAAAAACAATTTGCTCAGTAATTTATTAATGCTGTTAAAACTTATGTCGACGCTGAAAATGCATTTGTCGATTAAAACTGGCTAAATGCAAATCGTTTCGTAACCTTTATTCACACGTATATGGTTTTACCAAGTAAAAGCGTAAAAATCTATCTTTTGATTTTAACAAAATTTCATCAATAGGTGCATTACATAATGGCACAAACGTTTCAATACGGACAGAAAAAATATATTCAGAACATTTTCAAAGACCTTGTTCCAAGAGCTTAATGAATAAATGACTTGGATTTTCTCAATCATTGATTCAGCAACAGACGTCCTTGGCTTGTAAGACGCTCTAGAATTCATTTCTTCATTTCTTGTTATCACGATACAGATCACAACATAGTACCGGTATCTGCACAAGAGCCAAGCGAGCAATGCCACTATCAAACAGCACACATACCCATCCATCCACTTTACGAAAGCACGAGGAATCTGTTGTCGACCATGATCCCAACGGTCGAACTTTCAGATAACACATTTACGTATCCATAGAACACATCGATAGCCGTATATCAAGCCCTGATTCATCATTTTACATACTTCCATTGCTTGATACGTTCCTTCCGCCGTAAGCACCTTGTAACACTACTCAAAACCAAAGCCAGTGATCTCCATTTGAATCACCTATGGACACAAGTGACAACAACAAAATAAACATTAGAACTCCACAACGTTCACAACCATGTTTGACACCATTGAGATACTTGCCAGCGATAGATACGATTTGAGATCTTCTTTCGTCTCATACACCGGCAAATCAATGCGGTTAAAGCAAGTGTGGGCACGTGGGCACATGCCAAGCGGTGGTGTACCTAAGGGCACCATCTGCAACGTGAAGGGATGGACAATACCACTGGCACTTGTAAGCGCTCTGAAGCCCTCAACAGGTACACGTGAACAGCCAGTAGCAAATTGCAAAAGCCGAGCACGCTGGTCGTCGGTGAAGGTATTAACCACATCCCAGAACCATTGCATTACCTCGAGCTCTTGTTCGATTCCTTCTGAATCATTGTCATAAGTTGCATGCTGAAGACGAGAGTTGTTCTGCCAATCGGCCACATTCAAGGTGGGCAATCCGCTGAGGTAAAAGTCCAGCTCCTGATAGTCGAAAATAGTGATCATCGACTTCGGAATGACCTCGTATAAACCTCGGAGCAGTGCTGTGAGTTGTTCAGCCACGCTGTCCAACATGCGGTAGCGTAGCACCAGTGACAAATACTCAGTCTTGTTTTCGTCGGTCACATCAATGTTCATTCCACCAGGTTTCAGCTCAACCGTCTCACCCGACAGCGTCTGAATACTGAACGTCAAACAAAGAGCGTCCACATGATCATTGTCTCGCACCCAGCATAAATGCTTGTGCAGCTCTTCATCAAGATACCCCAGGTCCGAAAAAGTAATGGGGACACCCAAAAAATGTTTCAGCAATGGTAGTGACATGCTCACTTCAAGGACAAGACCATCTAACATGGCCTTGCCTAAAAGCCTGCCAGCAAACGTAAAATATTGCAGGTGGTCCTGTCCTTCGGGAACACACTTAGCTGATTCCGAGTTGATCCAGTAACTAGAGTCTTCTGCGTGGGTCGTCACGAAAAGGCCTCGTTTGGCGCTAAAGAGTTCTTTACACACAAGGCCAAACCACTCGCGCAGTACACCTCCAGCATCAACAGCTGGCTCATCAATAAAGCTGATGTTAAGATGCTCCTGCATCCTTGAAACGTCAACTCCCCTTCCGGCTAGCTGCGGTAACGAATCGTCGAGAATGGCGGAGCGCCGTACGTCAATCTTGAAAATGGATTCAGTGTACGGCACGGAAAGAATCGTAGTTTGCTTGAGGAACCACCGTTTCTTTTCTCTCCACGTCATCGCAAGTACACCTTCAAAATCTACCCATGGCTCATCATCACCGCTTTTCGGACCGACATCCAAGCTGACAGAGTCCGTCTTCCTGTACGCAACCGCAGTACCTGAGGCATTAAGCTCCGAGAAAAAACCCATTGAAGCTGCATTCTTGCGATGTAGTTGCTCCGCCAAATCCTCGCGTAAGCTCTTTGCCTGTGGGTTCTTGGACAAAAACGAACTGTTTTTTCGTAGCTTGCTCACAAACGAGTCAGCTCTAGCAAAGACTGAACCTGGTGCCGCGGGTTCCATTGTTCTGACCCATACGAAACCTCCAGTAGGTAGTGGTACTCGTTGCCACAATCGTCTTCGACTCGCTCCTCTCTGTTTCTGGTTCAGCTGCATCTCGTTTAGCCTTCTGTACCGCAATGCTCTTTGTCTCATGCTCGTAGTGATTTCCACTTCTTGAGCAATTTCACCACTTGACATGCTGCGTGTCATGGGTAATGTCTTGGCCCTTTGTAGCGCTAGTGACGTCGTCATTGCCCCTGGATTCGAATCTGACCTGGTCACTAGATTCTCTAATAACGTCGAACTTAGTAGTGTTCCATTTTCTGTACCCAGTAATGTACATCTAGCAACACGTCGCGTCTTTCCAATAGTGTACAAGTCCTCTACGAGCTCTTCCATTGTCGAAAACTCCGCCGACGTACCACACAAGAGACAAAGTTCATGGTTTGGATGATTCATATGTGCACATACTATACATTGCCATTCACTGCATCCATCATCCAATATTGTGTCCACTAGATCCTCACGTAATTGTAAACTACGTACATCGACCGATTCAATCCTCACAACGTCATCTAGACCATGAAATTGGTAAATACACAAGAGAATAAAGCAAAAAAACAATAATAGAGAAACTCCTGCACCAGCTAAAGCTCCATTAAGAGATGATGAATCACTCATATGGGATAATCTATATACAGCTGCTGGCTAAAATCTCTTTTGACTGGATGGATGTATGAAAGAGAGAGAGATGGATGTTAAGGATGTATGGAGATAGAGCTATTACATATATAGTACACGAAAAAATTCGAAAATGCTGTAAGTTCGACTGCATCTATTCGAACGAGATTGGTTTTAACCAATGAGAAACGGTTTTGAGATTACTAGCGGTTTAATGACGACTGTATTGGCAGTAATCTCGTGTGGTTGAACAATAGGAAGGGTCACCTCACTAACATGAAAAAAGCAACAATGCATTGTAAGCCGTTGCTCGAGATCAATGAATTGGTAACAACTGTTCTCTTCCAGACGTGTTGCTCTTGATAAAACAACATGGTTATATAAGTCTAAAAATTGCACTGACAACAACAAGACGTTTGTCAGATGAGACCAAATGTCGCGCAGGTACATGGGCCGACGAGTTGACACGTTACAATCTAAACGGGACGTTGCGTTGGAGCAGGGCTGTTTGTACTGCTTGTGACAATAACATTCAAAGTATAAATGGCGGTCCTTAGTGTAAGCCTGGTTGCCGTTTGGACATGAGTGCTCTAATGCTTAGAGATCTACCTACAGCTTTTCAAAGGTGTCTACAGCTTTTTAATGTTGCCTATTGCACAATTTATGCGGAACCGATTGCACATTTCTGTGTCAACGCAGTGATAGAAGAGGGTCCTTTTTCTTTCATCTCAATCTGAAGAATAATATAAAAAGCCTTTGTGTGACTTACAATGGACGTTAGATATGCATCTTCTGAGAAGATCATCAGCGAAAAAAGTGTCGTAGTGTCTCATCACCCAAGGTACAGTGGGATGAGATCATCAAGTAGGAGATATTGTGAGCAATGCCGTTGGAAAGAAGACTACTACTAGCGTCGTCCCCAGCTCCATGAGAATGAATGACTCGACATATTGCATCGCAGATTGCCGATGGGAAGGTGCGTCATGAATCATCTCGCATACATTCTGTCACTTTCTGTGAAACGCGAATGTATGTCATGTGTCAACGTCAGCGATTGGTTGTTTTTGACGAATCATAGGCCATAATTTGCTAAGATCGACACAGCAGTGTCCGCAATATGATTGGTCTGAGACACGTGTCTCTAAATTTGTGTGGCATACACGATAGAGAGAAGTCAAATAAATAGATTCACTTTATAAAAATTCAAGGCTAGCAACGCTTCTAATCTATATACAATTATGCTCGTCCGCACGGCTTTAAAGCGATCACTTGGTGCGTTAAGTGCTGCACGCTCCGCCCACTTTCCTTCTGCTTCTATCCAGACGCGTCTGTATCACGAGAATGTAATTGACCACTACGAGAACCCGCGTAATGTGGGTGCAATGGATAAAAACGCCAAGGATGTGGGCACGGGCCTTGTTGGCGCCCCTGCTTGTGGTGACGTGATGAAGCTGCAGATTCAGGTCGATGAGAATGGTACTATTGTTGATTCCAAGTTTAAGACATTTGGCTGCGGTTCTGCCATTGCATCTTCGTCGGTGGCAACGGAGTGGCTTAAGGGCAAGAGCGTTGAGGACTGCTTGAAGATTAAGAACACAGACATTGCGTCTCATTTAAAGCTACCTCCTGTTAAGCTGCACTGTAGCATGCTGGCGGAGGATGCTATCAAGGCTGCTATATCGGACTACAAGAGCAAGCAAAGCGCGTCAGGTTAAGATGGTAGATGGTTAGCAACGTTCTTGTCGTCGCCACGTTCTCTCGTCCACGTCGTTGTGAGCAGAAGGACTCAATGTGGTTGGGATGAGTTGATGCTGGTGTGGTGTGAGGTTGAGTTCACCCTTGTCTACGACAGAATGTCAGAGATTCGAACAGTAGTGAGAGGAAAAGCTGTGAAATAATCAGTTGCTAATTTATTTGCCTGCCATCATAAATACATTTCCTTGTGTGTGTTGTTCTAGTTATCGTACGGATGTTTGCTGTCAAAAGATTACGTCCAACTCTGTTGTATTTTTTTTTTGCTAAAGGGCGTGACCCTCAGTCGACAGTATCAGGCAACTACGGCAATGACACAAACAGTTTTGTTATATACAATAAATGCCAGCAGCTTGCTGCATTAGCACACTGTTGTGTCATTGCCGTAGTTGCCTGATACTGTCGACTGAGGGTCACGCCCTTTAGCATCATCATCAAGCTCAGCCAATCAACTAGTGAGAAGAAGCTTTCCTGATGTCTTTGCTAATTCATTCTTTTTAGCCAATCGCTTGTCGCTTACCAGCTTTTGGTAGTAACAAAGTGAGCGTAATCCTGAATATCCTCAGAGGACCCAGTCAGCCAGTAAACACTGCTACGTATACAATCACTTACACGCTCTATTGTTCAGTGATCAGTTTTAGTTATTAACACAAAGACTATTGTCACAAAACTCTGCTACAGGTCCATCTTTCCTTATCACATACGAAAGTCAATTCTCCATCTGTCAATTACATACTCAATCAATCCAATTGCTGTATTTGTAAGACTGTTCATGCCAAACGATTTTGTTAGTGCCACAAATTGAACCTCTCATAACGACTCACGTTACGTTCGATACCTCAAGACTCATCTTATACGAAGAGTCAGCTCGCTATGGACACCACAAAGTCGCATGAGACTGATATTCGCTCCGTATACCTGCCACAACATATTGTGGTGCTAGTCCATGGCAATAATGGCTTGGCCGCCGACTTTGACGCTGTGGAAAAGTCACTGTGGAAAAAGTATGGCAAACGTTGCATGTTAATTATCAAGTCTCGAGCCAATGAGACTGATACTTCATTGGGTGTGGATATGGGCGGCTCAAGACTTGCCAAGGAGGTTGTCGAAACTGTGTTTGAGTATGATTTGTGTCCAGTTGTGACAAAGTACAAGGTCTCGTTTATCGGTCATTCACTGGGCGGTCTCTATGCAAGATACGCTATTGTCCAGATTATGGACTCACTGCGCTGCCTTCACGTGGAATATGTCAATTTCGTCACAATTTGTACACCGCATTTGGGCTCAAGACGGGCGAGGGGATCATCAACCATCAAGGTTGCGTGCATTCTGGCTGTTGCAGGATTGATGTATAATGGGGGCTGTACGATTGACTAACACATTTGTAAATGATGATTAATTGAACAGAACATCCTTCGCCTTGGAGTGCATAAAGTACTCGCGTCGCGGTCGATATACGGACAGACAGGCGTTGATCTTTTGCTAGATGGTAAGTTGTATTACCGTACAGTGTGAAACCTTGTCAACTGTTCTTACAAGTGTGCATGGTGCATGGCGCGGTGCAGCACAAGAGCAGCAAGAAAGGGTCATAAATGCCGATGCCATGGAACCTGCGCGTCCCCTGTTAGAAATCATGAGCGATCCTAATTTAGAGTTTATCCGCTCGCTCAAACGCTTTCAATATGGCACGTTGATAGCTATGACCGACGGTGACGTCGTAGTGCCGTATCCCTCGGCTTCTATACGTAGCCATAGCCCGTATGCTAGCACCTTTTTGACGGAACGCTACACAGAGTGGCGATGGCATGTTCACCACTCTGGTTTCGCCGTAGATGCTTGTGGTCGCACTAACCCTGCTCATTCAGCATTTTTGGAGCAGCTCAACTCAAAGGTTGATCGTTTGACTAAAATTAAAAATCACGAGCTAGGACTCGACGCAAGCTGTACGCCAAGGTATCCCAGCATTGAGGGTTTTGACTGTGACAACAAACAAGAGGTGGAATTTCCGCACGAGATGCTATGCAGTCTGCAACAGGTGCTTCCATGGCGACGTATTGATGTGACAGTAGAGCCCTGCGGCGTGAAGGGTAAAATGCGCCTGCATGACTGGCCTATCAACAAGATGCAATCTCCCGACTGCTATGCAGACGAGTTCATCGATCTACTATGTGATATGATTGGAGCCGATCACGAGATGCGTCCACTGGTAACACCGGACCCCGTTGGCAAGCAGCATGAATGCTCTGCGGTCGCATTGGCCCGTCGGCTCAAAAATGTTGTTAAGCAGAGTGTTAACAAGTCATCCAGCGAGAAAGAAAGTGTTAACAGTGATGCTGAAACAAATCAGTCAGGAATGACTTCTTCTATCTCGAGCTCATCCGCAGCATCTAGCGACTTCCTGTTCGTGTAGCATAGTAGGAAGCATTGTAATCTATTGTTACACAACCACATGGATTGTCACAGTGTATTCGTTGCTGAACGTTACAAGGCAATGCTGTATTTGCTCGCTTGCTCGTAAATCACGGTCTTGACAATACAAGAGCACTGCTTCCTCATGGCCTTCCTGAATCCTTTGCGAATATCGTCTAATTAGTTGCACCAAAACATCATAGCTCAGCTCGGCCGAGGGTCTAGCGTACAATGATACGTGTCTCCATTGCATGACTCAAAAAGAAGATACTAGCAGTCCATGACATTAGTGCACGTGACGATAAATGATCTTACAGCAAAACTTACAAGATTTTGCATACATGTCTAAAAAATTCGCTACGCACAATCGACACTGTAACGACCGAATCGACATAGCAATCGGTTTCGATGAACATTAATCGAAGTGATAGATTACATCGTACACTAACCTTTGAATCCATTTCTTACACAGATCGGATAAACATGTCCTTTTTCTTTCTTCAAGTAGGTAGATTCAAGCATTTATGGATTCAAATTGTCTTGAAGGGTCGTGGCAATTTAAATTGATGTAAACAAGTTTGCGATTAGAAAAAAGAAGCGGGTCACTATTTTACAATATCAAGGTACAAATCGCTCACATGAGAGAATGAAACGCATCAACAATTGTCACTTTATATCGCTAATTATTGCGTAAACAATCGATTCTCGAACACTTTTTGTTTATTCTCGAACACTTTTTGTTTATTCTCGAACATATTTTTATTCTTGAAGATAAGAAATAGTTGATTTTTTTTTTTTTTCATGTTTTCTATTTTTTGACCAATCCACGTTCTCTGCGACTCAAAAATCCGCTCTTTTCGTATACGTGATCTTCACACGCTGTTCTCGATATATATCGTCAGTTTTGATTTTGCAATAAAGACAACAGTATCAACATGAGCACAAACGGATTGAATGAACCAACAGCGACACAACAATTGCCACAGCAACCACAGCCTGGTGGCTTTATCTTTTTCCTTCCACCACCGCCAACAGTATGGGTACAATTTAATGACGGTATGCAAATGGGGTTTACACCGTCTCCAACGCAATACTTGCAATCGGTCTTAAATGGCGTCCCGATTTTTGAATCAGCTCCAGGTGGTGATGCCAATGGAAATAACAGTAATGGATTCCTCAATGCATTGAATGAGCTTTTTCAGCGCGCACAGGATCAACGACACGGCCCACCACCAACGTGCAAGCTGTTCTTGGACAAACTGCCGATGAAAATGTGGACACAAGACCTGCAGAAGTCTGAGAGTCAAACAGATTGTGTCATTTGTTTGAGTGAGTTTGAGAAGGATGACAAGGTGATTTTGCTTCCATGTGGTCATACGTTCCACAAGGACTGTGGTATGACGTGGCTTGTTAAACATAATGTGTGTCCCACATGCCGATACCAACTACCGACACAAACCGAACCTACCACGGCACAGGCCGCGACACAGACAACACCGACAGCAACGATAGAACCGGAGCAAGAGCCTAATTTACAAGACACAAACGTCACAGGTGTACGTCGTCAGCGACCAAGTGAGACGAGTCACCCGCGCGATGTTCGTCAGCGTGTGAACGAGCCAACGTTGGCATTGATGGACGAAGACGCCGAAATGGATGTTATGCTGGAGCAAGAAGCAGAACGTTTCGTCAAGGAAGAGATGGAGCAGCATGAGTCTGTATCGAATGACGATGGCGTTGAGATTCATGACTGCGACGTAGAAGAATTTATGCACGAGACGTCGAGCAACTAAATCTGTCACAAGCCAATAGATTCTGTAGAGTATTATAGATCGCTCACACCAATTAATATATACGTTGTGAATGGGTTGAAAAACAATGTATCACGTCAAGATTCATTGTCTTGAATGATGATATAGCGAGCGATCGATCACTTTAATCTCGATATGTCTCAACCTCGCAGACTGCAATGCGCAATATTGTATGTAGGACACTAATGCAACTATCATCCATACTTCAAGCCACTTAACACCAAAGTCTGCCACCAAAGGCTACGTTCGAACTAGTCCCAGCGCTTGCAGACAGACCTTGGATAGAATCTCTTTGCTTCAGTAAGTGACAGATAGAGAGCAGTTTATCCTTCTATTTATCAATCAAAAACAAAAGCGTCATGAAGCTGCACGTAACAATGAAGGAAGATAGTCGATAGATACAAAAATTACGTCATTATTGGTTCGTTGTTGTCAGACGCTTTTAGGTCTCCTAATTCAGGACTCTATTACTAGGATATAGTCCTCGAATGAAATGGACTCGTATATACATTAGTGTATGCTACATTATTGTACCAAAAAAACGGTACTTCTGCATAAGGCCTTAGATCCACTCCTCGCAAGAAGACAGTCATCACTTAATCCATTACTATGAGTTACCGTGGTATGAATCCTAACGCTGAGATTGTTAGCAAGTCACAAGCGCTTATGGTCAACGTAAGCGCTGCTAAGGGTCTACAGGGTGTCTTAAAATCAAACTTGGGTGCGTCCTTACGTCTCTTTCTCTCTGTACTCTCTTTTTTTAGTACCAATCGATTCTTTTTTCTTACAATTACATACAAATTGTCAGTATAACTTACACATGGGATTAACCTCATATCTACGTCTATACTAATAACTATCAGGACCTCGTGGTACTCTCAAGATGCTCGTGGGTGGAGCTGGACAAATTAAACTTACAAAGGATGGCAATGTGTTGCTACATGAGATGCAGATCCAGCACCCGACAGCAGCTCTTATCGCACGTGCAGCTACTGCACAGGATGATGTGACGGGTGATGGTACTACGTCCACTGTTCTATTTATTGGTGAGCTACTGAAGCAAGCGGAGCGCTTCTTGGCTGACGGGCTACACCCGCGTATCCTGTTGGAAGGTTTTGAGCTTGCAAAGGACGAGGCCCTGCGTGTGCTGGAAAGCATCAAAATTACACCTGAGGACATATTGAAGGATCGTGAATTACTCTGTAGCGTGGCCCGCACCTCATTGCGCACCAAATTGGATCAAAAACTTGCTGATCAATTGACTGAGATCATTACAGACGCTGTACTGACGATCGCCGTGCCTGGCCGTCCGATCGATTTGCATATGATTGAGATCATGCACGTACGTGATGTTTGTTATGGCAGATTTATTTGCGATTCGTGCTAGATGTTGACCTGGTTAACTATGTTGATTTACACAGATGATGCACCAGAGTAGCAGTGACACCCGTCTTGTGAAGGGTCTGGTGCTTGATCACGGATCACGCCATCCGGACATGCCGACATCACTGGAGAATTGCTACATAATGACGTGCAATGTGTCGCTGGAGTATGAGAAGAGCGAGGTGAATTCAGGTTTCTTCTACAACAGCGCTGATCAACGTGAAAAGATGGTTGAGGCTGAGCGCAAGTTCACAGACGATAAGGTGCGACAGATCATTGATCTGAAGCGCGAGGTTTGCACGGAGGAGAACAATAAGAGCTTTGTGATTATCAATCAAAAGGGCATCGACCCTCTGTCGTTGGACATGCTGGCAAAAGAAGGCATTCTGGCCTTGCGGCGTGCAAAGCGTCGTAATATGGAGCGAATAACGCTTGCTTGTGGTGGTATGCCTATCAATTCCACGGACGATATGGACGAATCCATGCTGGGGTATGCTGGAAAGGTGTACGAGCAGACTCTGGGCGAGGAACGCTACACGTTTGTGGAGGATGTTCAGCACCCAAAGTCGTGCACGATTCTAGTCAAAGGCCCGAATGAGCACACAATTGCGCAGATAAAGGATGCCATCCGCGATGGCGTTCGCGCTGTAAACAACGCCATTGAGGACAAGGGTGTCGTTCCAGGTGCTGCTGCTTTCGAGCTGTCTGCTCACGAGGCCCTAAACAAGTTTAAGGGCACGGTGAAGGGCCGCGCCAAGCTTGGTGTGCAAGCTTTTTTGGACGCGCTGCTCGTTATTCCCAAGGTCTTGGCTGAGAACTCGGGTCTCGACGTGCAGGACACTCTGATCGTCGTTCAGGAGGAGCACCAGAACTCGGGTATGCCTGTTGGAATTGATCTCTTCTCGGGCGAGCCCATGCTGCCAGAGCAGGAAGGTATCTGGGACAACTACCGAGTGAAACGTCAATTCATCCATCTTGCTACGACACTAGCTTCGCAACTACTGCTAGTTGATGAGGTTATGCGTGCTGGGAAGCAAATGGGCGGTGGTGGTGGTGATATGCAACCTGAGCAGTAAGTAGAGAGATAGTCAATACGCAAGTAGTTTTATTTCTCTTACCAAAATGTAGCTGCTCATTTACTCATTGCGTCATAATAAACCGACAAGCGACTGAAAAGAGAATTGTGCAAGAAGAGGCGACGAGACGATAATCAATCAATCCATCCATCTAATCTTCGTCTTCTCTATAACAAAGACAACATTAACATTCAGTCATTACGTGGCTAACATGTATTCATAATCTAGCCAATCGAACGAAAACTCCATAGTATAATAATAGGAAGATTTCAAAATCTTCCGTTTTTTCCCATTTTTGCTTATCTTACTATACTATGATATTACTAACTATACGATTCGCTGGATCCGAACTAAGATTCTTATCCAATCCCGTTGTAAAAAAAATAAAACCATCAACTCGGAAGTCCCACGTCAGCAAGTTTTTTTTTCTTACACTTGATAGTCACTCGACAACTTCTAGCACTCAATAGTTTCCCTAGACGGTTTTTTAAACCACCGGTTGACGATATTTTTCAGTCATTCAAGGACTTTCGTGATTGCAATCTCTCTCTCTTTCATTCGGCATTGAAAACAGTTTTGCCCAAGAGCAAACTCAAGTGGTAAAAACGTTTCGTCTTTTCTTCCTAGTTGGCACATTTCGTCGGCACTAGAGTCATGGAATGCATGGCATTTGACAGGACGATACGATCGACAATCCTTTGCTTTGATCTCTTTTATGCGGGAGCTGATTCAGCCATGAAGAAACGATTGCAAAAGGCATTGGATGTAATGCGTAGTGCCATTGATATTTTTGGGCTTGAAGGTGTGTGCTTCAGTTTTAATGGTGGAAAAGACTCGACGGTTGTACTCCACTTGCTTCGAATTGTCATAGCTAAACGAGTACTGGATGACGCGAATCTAGGATGTCTTAAGGCTGTACAAGAAGCTGAAGGTGGCACAACTGTTACGTCACCACGAAATAGTTTTGTTTCGGCGGATATTCTGGACGAAAACGAGCTAGAAGCTCGTGTCCAAGCACAATTGCAACAAGTGCCAGTGATGTATTTTGACTCGTACGATCAGTTTCCTGCAGTGCGTGAGTTTACAGAAAAGTGTACAATGAAATACAGTCTCAATTGTTACGTGTACAAGTGTTCGTTTGTGGAAGGAGTGAAGGATGTGTTGGAGAAACTCAAGATTAAAGGCGTGTACATGGGTGTGCGTGGTGGAGATCCATATACAGAGGACATGGAACACTTTTTACCTAGCAGTCCAGGGTGGCCGCCATTTTTGCGTGTAAATCCGATCTTGCGGTGGACGTACGATGATGTGTGGAGTTTTTTGCGTGACTGTCAGTTGGAATATTGCCCCTTGTACGACCACGGATATACGTCGCTAGGAAATATATTCGATACTGTGCAAAACCCAGAGCTTTGGCGGAAGGGTGAGATCGGTAAGGAGGGATATTATCTGCCTGCATATGAACTTAAGGATGGAAATTTGGAGCGCTGTGGACGACAGAAGAAGGCACACACGACATCAAAGTCCGAGTAAGCTGAAAACCGCAGTGTGACAGCTATATTGTATGTATAGTCTCATCAAATTGAATGTAAAAGGAATTAAATTCGACATGTCTACCTGGATTATTCCTGCACTGATAATATTCTTAACGTCGGTGCGACCGTGAATGAGAGCGCAGACGTCTTCTAGGAGAAGGAGACGAAGATAGATCGCGATGACGACGATGACGATTTGAAGACCGCGATCGACCATAAGAATCTTGTAATTCTGCTCGTCTTGACGAGTTTTCATTCCGGCGACCGCCACTTCGTGATCGTGAACAGGACTGATCGCTATGATATCGACTTTCAGAGTGCGGCCATCGAACTGCAACTCGACTTTTTGCTGAATGACTTGGTGGCGAGCAAGAACGTGAACGATGCCTTGCATCTTCATTATCCATGCTTTGACGATGGTAGCGTAGCTTATTGTCATCTCTATCGTCTACATTGCGACTGTAAGTGTGCAACGCCTTTTTCTCTTTCTTGCGCTCCTTCTTTTGTTTTTTCTTGAGTTTTTTGGCTTCTTTCTCAGCCTTGCGCGTCTTTTTTCGCGCTGTCTTGGCCTCACTCTCTGTCATGGGTTCGTCAATAGTACCTGGCAACGCATACGTCGTATCTGCTATACCACTCGCAAGTTGGTCCTTATATCTCTCAGCCAACGTACGTTTGTGTCCTGTCTGGAAACTCAAAGCTTTTACTGGCGCTGCTCCTAATCCTTCAATCCGCTCGATATCCATGTCATCGCGCTCTGCTTCTCCTCGTTTCAGCAACATCTTCATTTCCGACGCACTCAAAGCTTCAACAGGTTCATGACGTCTTTTCGGTGCAATACCTCTAGACATCATTCACAATAAACACATTTCTATAAGCTCATACATCAAATAGTCAAAGAATCGTGTATCTTCACAACGTACAGAGCTTCATTCATGAGATCTTCGTCCCGTTGCTTGGCTAATGTTAACTCAATCTGAAATGCTTCGGCTTTCTCTGTCTTGTTTGCTTTTGCATACCATGTCACGTCCTTTCCTTTCTGCCAACGACCTACAGGCGCTTGGACCGAATGACCCAAATAATTCTCTCGATACTTGTCATTCTTAACGTCTTCCCACTTGAAATCTAATATCTCCACATACAAGAAACCAATCAAATACGTAAACACAAAATATACAATTCAGATACTGGACTGATATTACGCAATCAATATGTAACATAGTGTCGACGTACGATTCGCGCCACCGCGCGTCCCGCCTACGCGATAATTTGTCTTGCCAAAGCTCATAATGAACAATAGGATGGCATAAAAAACAATGCGTGCGTGTGTGTGTGTGGCTTACATGAAAAAGCAAAGAATACGAATAAATTACCGTCAGTCAAAACTGGGTACTATTATGTCATCAATATCTTATACACATTACATCAGACCCTATTTTTTGAAAAAATAAAACGCTCAAACGTATCAAGTTCATTCATGTCCAGTACGAATGGGTCCAATGGCAGCGGTATCTTTGCTACTGGAAAGAATAGCAACCGTGTTACAGGTGGAGGACCCGATCCTGCAAATATGAAAAACTACAACACTTTTCTCGCGGCAGATCCTGTACGTCAGTTGCGGAAATATGAATAGAATTCGGTGCTAATTGTGACTGCTGTTGTTGCTGCTAACTATCGTTATATATTTGAAAACAGAGCGTGCGATCATTGATGCAAACATCGGAAGATATTGAGCACACACGACGCACTGTCGCAGAGTCCGAGGAGTTGGCTAAAAATGTCCTGGTTGATCTGGAACTACAGCGTTCTCAGCTTCACGATATGAAGGAACTGGTCTCTGAAACTTCAAGTATGATGGGTCAAGTACGTCATCTGCTGCAGGTCATTGCTAGCCGTTCGTATCGAAAAAAGATCTGTCTCTGGCTCATCATTATCGCGCTCGCTGTCACGGACATGTCCGTATTTTATCTATTGTTTATACGTTAAAAAGTGGCCAGCAAACGGCAGAAAAATGCATTTCTTACCAAGCAAAAATCAAGCAGTTTGTATTTCTAAATTTAGAAATGGGACATGCAGTACAGGACAAGATTTTGGAACCTACGTGTTTATATTACACAATGAGGTAGCAGGGAATTAATTTTTAATGACCGTTATAAACTCGTCGCAGGAAATAAATAAATAAAAAACCCGGCAAGAAACATTCGTCCGTCACCCAAGGAAGCACTAAACGCTTCATTCTTCTCTTTGAATATGTGTGTGTTTTTATATCGTTAGTTTATCATGAGAAATCATACCGCATTCATCTTAGCTCTTAAATAAAAGATAAATATAAGCAAAAAGTTATTTATGTCAATGTGTTGAAGGGTGACATTGTTTTGTTGGCAGGTATTATTGCAAGCAAACCCAATCCATGATGCCTCGCTCATTCTTGTCCTCTTGTTTGTCATTTATAAACGTGACGTCAAGTGCTCAACTCCATCTCTCTCTCTCTCCTCAACTAGACTTTATTCTATCAATATGGTCAAACCAAACGAACGCCTTGCAACTGCTGAGCATGAATTTGATTTACTTGAAATGATGCTCATCCGAACGGCTGATGATGCTGTGAGATGTCTCAAATTACTAAAGAAAAACCTTTCGGACTATGACAACCACCATGGAAATCACTTTACCAATACGGCCATATCGTACATGCGAAGCGATATGCGCGCAGCAAAAGACTCGGCATCCAACTTGAAGCACTTGGCACATCAGTACCGAGAAAACCCGCAACCATCTGAATTGGGCGTTATGTCTGCACGCAGCATGGGTGATGTGGTTGCTAGATCCATGGACGCTCTCATTACAACAGCTCGCAACTATGACCAGAAGAATGGACGATCGAAAGGTGTTAAAGGCGTGATTGACAATGCCAGTGGCAAGAATGATCGGGAAAACCACGAGAAGGACGGAGGTCTGTTTGGTCAGGGCCATATAAACAGAAATGAGAAACACGCTGGTCGTTTTGGCACGGGTGATGAGCGACACATGGATGCTAACCACGGCAGTAGTCTGCTTGGAACACCGGACGTTGTCTACTATCATCAAGGTGGCAATGACATTCTGAGCAATTCTGACACGGTTGAGCAGTTGGTCAAGACCACGGTGCATGACAACTTTAGTGCCAATGCACTGACCCATCAAGTTGCAAATGCTGAGAAGTCGCTGTCGCCTTCATTCGTGGAACGCGTGAAGGAGGTGGTCCACGAGGTGAAAGATAAGCTGAAAGGCGACAAGGCGAGTCCGACGCACAACGTTCACTACGCTCACCAGGGTAATGAGCATGTTGTGATTCCATAAGCGAGGATAGCATGCACATCAGTAGGTGTAACAGAAGTGAATACCTGCTGACAGTTGAAAGAATACGATCTCGATAAAACATTCGTGAATAAAAAGCGGTTCTTCATTTGATGCGTCTGTGTTCACCTTACGTCAGATATGCAAAGTAGCGTGACAGAGCATGATGATAAGTCAATCATGTAGACGTAGGTTGTCGTAGCAATTACTTGCGCCGTTTACTAATGGAAGCACGTTCATTCTCGAACTGATTGAAAAGAGGGTTCCAAAATACTGTCTCTTGAAGTATTCTCTTCATGGTTGTCTGTCTGGAAGAAAAGACAGGATACACTCGTGTTTGTTTGAAAGGTGACATTCAGAATGAAAACTCTTTGTCCTCTTCATTCTTCACTTGGATTCCAAGTTGACACTCCTCGTATTTCTTCGTTGCATCCAACCATTACCGACTATGCATTGCGGCATTTTGCTTTTCTTTATCCTCATTGCTTATGGAGCTACTGCTGAAGACACTTGTCCTCCAACTGAGATCATGAAGCTTGCTGAGCTTTATACCAACCCACACCTGCATGCGTGCGGGAACATGTCGGCAAATTTCTCCATCGCTTTACCTACTGACTCCCAAGTGAAAGCCATGTGTACTTTCGATACATGTCGTGCACTGATCGAGGACGTTCTCGCATTGAAACCTGCCGACTGCTACCTGTCTTTTGCTGAGGTGAAGCTCAATGCGTACAAGCTCGCTAGTAATTTCAAGAATGTGTGCGAGACTAATATGGACAAAAAGAACGGGAGCTGGAAGTTGCAACCGACTGTGAAGCCCAGAGACACGACATCAGCGCCAAAGGGCGATACTGGACACCACCTCAAACAGGAAGAGCTAAAATTTGTCAAAGACGTCAACGGGACGCATCTTGTTGGAGCCAATACTACGAAAAATGCAGACGAGTTGAAGCCCCCAATACACACCAAAGCAAAAGAACTCTTTCCGTTTGCAAACACGACGTACAAGGCGACTGGTCGCGAAACGTTTCCATAGCTTGTATCTGCATGTATTCATAAGTGCCGTGAGTGACAACTGCTAGCTTTGGCTCATCTGAGAACCAAACGCGCGCTAATGTTCCATCACTGCCAGAAAATGTCATGATCATAGTAAACTTTCTAGATTGAATTCTTGTGCTTTTGCTAGTGAATATTACATGTAGCGTTAACATGGCTTGTGGTACAAGTGAACAGCTAGTTCAATCTATTCAGTTGTCGCCACCGTGTTTTTACAGCAACACGATAGCATCTTCATTGCTACTTCCACGCTCGCCAATGCTTATTCCATAGAGATAATGTCGTCAATCAGCAATGCGTTCGGTTGTTGAGCAACGGAGGTGGCATTCTGACTCTGCTCCTTCGAGTATACTTCAAAGACAAAGACTTTTGCGTTCAACCACACGCCTGTAATCGACCTAGTTGCGTGCTGGATCAGCTTACTGTACAACAACCCATTTTCATACCCTGAGGCTGGGGCTGAATACCTCAATTCTGACATAGACAGAGCAGCACAGGCGGCAGTGGCGTCGGCTTCGACGACCGACAGACTTCCAAGCTGCCAACGACGTGGGTTTTTCATATCGACACATGCTGGGACCAAGTTGGCCGCTTGACAATCGACACTCTGCCAAGTCTTTGACTCACGCATGAGCGCGACACATTTGCTAGCATCAAGCTCATGGCCCTTAGCCACAGTCCAAATTGTAGCCTCCATGCGTTTTGGGGTAAGGTTGTCTGGTGATGGTATATTCACACCACAGTCTACCACGCCTGGAAGAGATTTTTCGTCCAGCAAGTGTTTGTTCAAGCCAATCTGGCCGTTCGCATTGAGAAAACCGTACTCAATCTCGCTGGTTTCTGGGCGAAAGATCGTAAAGTTTGCGTCTGGAATCCCACTGTCAGTCTCAGACTGATTAAATCGGCATTCAGGGAACGGAGAAAGAGGCAATAGCGGTTCTTGCCAATCACAAATCGTGTGTTTCACAAACAAAAGCTCCTCCCCATGCATAAGGTAGTCTGCACCACTCATGAACATCACGCGCTTTCCAGCACGGAGTAGCTCTTCAAACGTAGGCCATGTTGTGCCGTACTATACATGGAAAACGTCACACCAAATGAAGAATATCAATTTCATTGTCTCACGCAAATAACTCAAATCACACAATACTCACCGCCAACTCAATTGGTCGTAGAATCTCTTCCTCTAGAAAATACATTTTCAAATAATCGAGCAGCTTACCAACCTTATTCCATTTCATGAGATTTGTATCGTCGTCAAAAAACACCATCAAGAACTCATCGGAATGTTCCGGTGCATGTAACCACGTTGCCAATTCACTCAATGCCTCCTTCAGTGGCCGTTGTTCTTTGGTCGGAATACTACTTAAACTCGGTTTGCATCCAATTGTTTCCGAGTCCCACTCAATGCCAGTGCCCAGAATCTTTGCAATTTCGTTGAAAACTTCAATCATTCTGTCCAATAACTTGGACCTGAATCCGCCACAATGCGCAATACGTAGATCATTATCAAACCAATGCACATCGAGCTCAATAAATCTCACACCCATGTGCAATTGATCAGTAAGAGAAAAGAGCTGGTCATTTGTATGCACTTCCATGCCCTTTTTAAACCACGAAAAATAGCGCAAATAGCCTCCAAATATGTGATCTTCGACACCATAGCCATCAGCCAAATTGATGGCTGAATTATGTGTTCCTGGTAACGTTGCAGAGCAAATATTCCGTCGGTAGGCAAGTTTACGTTGTAGCTTTAATGCGTTTTGTAGCCATGTTTCCATCTGGACGGAGCCGTGTTTACACACAATGGCACAGACACGTTTTTGGTCACAACGTTTTATTTTGTCACATTTAATGTTTTTGGGGACTAAATCAGGTACATAATTCAGCACGTGGGTCTTAAATTGGGCACGATCCTGAGCGATTTGAGTCCTTGAAAATGCCCATAATGTCTCGGAATTGATATCAAACTCAAGATACACAGGATTTTGTACAGTTGCCATTGATTGATTGGTACATACTGCTAAAAGAGTATACATGTACAAGTATATAAAGACAGTAAAGGACGAGTGGATAGAAGACGCTAGTAGAGGAGGAGGACGCAACGTCAGCATTATACGTCCTATTGTTGCGGAATCAGGGTTTAGTTTTCAATGTAGATTTAACCTATAAAATGTCGACGGTATAGTTTTGAAAGTTATTTTTACTTAAGTATACCATGATTGTTGAAGATGTTTTATTCATAGACTAGTGTCACATAATAAAGGATGTATATGATAAAACCGCTTTCTAGTCACCTGTTGGTCTAGTTATTATCCTTAGAGGTCAATAGTAAGAATACAGATGTGTCATATACGCATTAAGCTTAGTAATATCATTTCTATCACAAGACGGCAGGAAATGTGTAGGCAAAGGTTGAAGATGTCGGGCTTTATTTTAGTCACTATCCAAGCAACAACTACATTACTTACGGCGCGACAACGTGCTTGTTGCCATAGTGGCCGTAATGACCATGGTGTGTCGGACTCGCCTTGTCGCCTTTCAGCTTATCTTTCACCTCGTGGACCACCTCCTTCACGCGTTCCACGAATGAAGGTGACAGCGACTTCTCAGCATTTGTAATTTGATGGCTCAGTGCACTGGCACTAAAGTTGTCACGCAATGTGGTCTTGACCAACTGCTCAACCGTGTCAGAATTGCTCAGAATGTCACTACCACCTTGATGATAGTAGACACCGTCCGGTTTTCCAAGCAGACTACTGCCGTGGTTAGCATCCATGTGTCGCTCATCACCCGTGCCAAAACGACCAGCGTGTTTCTCATTTCTGTTCATATGGCCCTGACCAAACAGACCTCCGTCCTTCTCGTGGTTTTCCCGATCATTCTTGCCACTGGCATTGTCAATCACGCCTTTAACACCTTTCGATCGTCCATTCTTCTGGTCGTAGTTGCGAGCTGTCGTACTGAGAGCGTCCATAGATTTGACGACAATACTCATTATATTACGCACCGAGTGAATGTCCATCTCGGACGGCTGTGGACTATTGATGACCTGGTGTGCCACGTGCTTCAAGTTAAATGCCGTGTCTTTTGCTGCACGCATATCGCTCCGCATGTACGACGCGGCAGTATTAATAAAATGGTTTCCATGGTGGTTGTCATAATCCGAGAGGTTCTTCTTCAGCAATTTGAGACACCTCACAGCATCATCAGCAGTTTGGTTCAGCACTTCTTCTAGCAAAGCAAATTCCTGCTCAACAGCAGCATTGTGATCATTGAACTTTGTCATGTTTGCGTAAGGATGTTTCGTTAAAGTGATGGTAATAGTGAGTCAGTCAATCTGCCTATTGTCGGAATTGACTCGTGCGCTTGGAATCACGTTTTGAAATGGACAACGCTCGTTGAGTGCACCGTGTGTGTGATCGTGGGACCATTTCGTCCTGTAATGGCTTCACTTGTTGGCTGTCCGTCACTTCTCATCAAGACGTTGATGGTTTTTAGACAAGCAGCGTGACTCATACTTTTGTTTGACCTTCAGCTTTTTGTGCATAAGAAGTAGTTGTCTCAAATCAACGGCTTGTTCAAACCTTCTTTGACATTTTTGAGTATTCTCATAAACATTCCTACGGCAAAAAAAACAACCAAAACATGGACGATTTGGTCGACTTCATCGTTCATGTGGTGCTATATTTCTTCTATACCGAAAACTTTGTGCTCAAATGGAGCTGACTAGCAGCCATTATATTACACATGTAGTATGTCTTGCGGTAAAGCTTTTTCACTCCTCTTGCTCGAAATGGTCACAATAAAACGTGATTGATCATAAGTACAATAGACCCATTGTAATCTCTATCCTCCTCATCATCATTATTCATCATTCATTTATACTTATGAGTAGGTACAATTCCGGCATTGCCGCTGAATTCTTCAAGCTTGAGCTACTGTTAATGCAGACAGCAAATGATGCAGTCAAATGCATGGAGATATTGAAAACCAACCTATCTGACTATGATATTTACCATGATTTGAATTACATTCACACGTCGACGTCCTTCATGAGAGACAGTATTCATTTCGCCGAACACGCAGCTTTAGAGTTAAGTCTCGTGGCTGAACAGATTGCTAAGAGCAAGTCCTTGTCGGACTGGGAAATTGCTGCAGCTCGCAACAAGATGAGCGCAGCCTCGGACGCAATGTCTGGTTTGAAGAAAGTAGCTCGCGTCTATGATGAGATGAACGGAAAGTCAACGGGTATTGCTCGATTTATCGACCATGTGCTGATTAGAAAATACGATACAAAGAAAACCATTTCAGAGCATAACAACATGCCGCCTGAATGTGCTGATACGGTCGAAATCGTGGTGAAATCAACATTACGCAATGCTTTCAACGGATTTTCAGCTCTAAAGCATCAAATCTCTACTGCCGAGAAGTCATTGTTACCATCACTCGTACAGCGTGCGAAGGATGTGGTTGAGACTGTTGTGATTAAGATAAAAGGAGACGCCAACCCTCCTCGAAGCGCAACAATGTAAACGTGCGCGATATAATACAAGTTACACTTTCGATAGTATAACCACTTCTCTTCATGGCGGAACGGTGAGCTTCTTTTATACATGCAAACACAATACACGTCACAAATGCCGTTATTGTTAGCAAACGTATGCCAGACACATCCTGAAAACCTTTATTTGTTCTTTCCTGACCGCAATTCCATGTGCTTTATTAATATATCGCATGCATGCTTGTCTAAAAACCATCAACGTCTTGATGAGAAGTGACGGACAGCCAACAAGTGAAGCCATTACAGGACGAAATGGTCCCACGATCACACACACGGTGCACTCAACGAGCGTTGTCCATTTCAAAACGTGATTCCAAGCGCACGAGTCAATTCCGACAATAGGCAGATTGACTGACTCACTATTACCATCACTTTAACGAAACATCCTTACGCAAACATGACAAAGTTCAATGATCACAATGCTGCTGTTGAGCAGGAATTTGCTTTGCTAGAAGAAGTGCTGAACCAAACTGCTGATGATGCTGTGAGGTGTCTCAAATTGCTGAAGAAGAACCTCTCGGATTATGACAACCACCATGGAAACCATTTTATTAATACTGCCGCGTCGTACATGCGGAGCGATATGCGTGCAGCAAAAGACACGGCATTTAACTTGAAGCACGTGGCACACCAGGTCATCAATAGTCCACAGCCGTCCGAGATGGACATTCACTCGGTGCGTAATATAATGAGTATTGTCGTCAAATCTATGGACGCTCTCAGTACGACAGCTCGCAACTACGACCAGAAGAATGGACGATCGAAAGGTGTTAAAGGCGTGATTGACAATGCCAGTGGCAAGAATGATCGGGAAAACCACGAGAAGGACGGAGGTCTGTTTGGTCAGGGCCATATGAACAGAAATGAGGAACACGCTGGTCGTTTTGGCACGGGTGATGAGCGACACATGGATGCTAACCACGGCAGTAGTCTGCTTGGAAAACCGGACGGTGTCTACTATCATCAAGGTGGTAGTGACATTCTGAGCAATTCTGACACGGTTGAGCAGTTGGTCAAGACCACATTGCGTGACAACTTTAGTGCCAGTGCACTGAGCCATCAAATTACAAATGCTGAGAAGTCGCTGTCACCTTCATTCGTGGAACGCGTGAAGGAGGTGGTCCACGAGGTGAAAGATAAGCTGAAAGGCGACAAGGCGAGTCCGACACACCATGGTCATTACGGCCACTATGGCAACAAGCACGTTGTCGCGCCGTAAGTGATGTGGGGGCATAACGGCGATGGTTTGAACAGATTGTGATATGAATTTGTCGAACAGAACAAAGCTCCGAGCTTGAAGTGGCGAGAAGTAGCGATGCCACAATACATATTCATTTATATGAAAGAAACTTGCTTACTGTGCCGACGCATATTATTATTGAAAGTTCCTCATGCCTGAAAATTATCTACAGCAATCTTAAACGCCCCACGTGCTGCAAACATACTACGTGAGCACACCTGCCCAAAAGCACAGACTAACTTCTTGTAATGCAAATCAAACATCCATCGACCGGAGCAAACAACAGCACACCCGCTTGTCATATTCGTTGGCTGATCCCGGCATGTTTGATGTTTGGCTTCTAACTTCCATTGAAGTATGTCGAGACAAGCAAGGACCAGGTTGCAGATCAAACTAGTGCCCCTTTTCCTTCTTTTTACGGCTGTTCGCTCGCTTGACCTTCGCCTTGTCGGCCTTGTCCACCTTAGTCTTCTCAGCCTCTGCCGCAGCAGCAGCTTCCGCACATGTATCCGTTGGCTCCTGCAGAGAAATGCGGCCTGTAGCTTCCAAACTCTCGCGGCACTTTGCAATCCAGGCAACCAGCTCCTCCAGAGCAACTGTGAACGCATCAAAAGTGACAAAAATTAGCACCAAACTCGTAATGGCAACAAATCACACTCATTCTAAGCTACAAGGTAACGTACTTTTGCCGTCATTGTCTTCGTCAATATGTGAAATAACCCACTCAACATCCTCCTGAGTGTTCGCCTTGCGCAGAATTGTCATAACGGCATCACGCAGCTCTTCGGCTGACAGCACACCATCGCTGTCGCGATCAAGGATATTCAAACGGTCACCAACGTGACGGTCAACCTCTTCAATTTCCACCTCGAGGTTGGACAGCATAGACTCAAGCTTCTTCATCATACGGCCAGCGGTTCTGTTTTCCGTAGCCTGTACACCAATACGGCCAGCCGCCAGCAGCCCCTCAACATCCATATCGTGCTTGTTTTGCTTCAGCTGGCTCACCGCCTGACGCTCTTTCTCAACCAGTGACTTGAACGCAAGCGACTCGAGAGCACTAAGCTCCTCCAAGCTTACAATATTCTCAATGGTCTTGGGTGGCACAGAAGCGTCCTCTTCAGACTTAGTTTCAGAGACAGCACTTGATGCTGTCGAAGCAGCCGGGGCTGGTTGAGTCTGCGCCCTTTCCATAATCACATCGGTAATTACCTGCTCCACCTCAGTCTGTGTGTCAGCAGCAGCAGTGGCGGCGGCCTGGGTCGCAGCTGCCTCGCTCTCAGCCTGCTTCTGAGCCTCGCTATCCTTCTTGTGAGCCTCATCGCGGAACTTCTCTTCGTCTGCAATCATCTCATTCTGATACCGAATACTATCAAGCTTCAGTTTACGCATCTCGGCTGTTTCTCCCTCCGTAGACGCGTTCGCTGCCAAAGCCACCTCTGTCACCACTTCCTCGTCCATGGACGACATTGAAGTAGCAAGTGCTTCCTCCAGGTTGTCCGCAGCAGTAATGTTCAGCGCCCGCGACATGATGAGCAGCGACGCCGGGACGTTCTTGTTGATAGACAAATCAAGCCACTGGCGCATTTGACGAATGTAGCCAGCCTTGGTCAGTCCCGTAGCGCGCATGCCACGCTCCATGCAGGCCATCTGCAGCTCCTCCTTATCAAGTGAGTCGAGACCTTCCCAAATAATGTCTTGGTCGTCCTTCTTCAGCTGACGAATACGATTACGCAGCTGAAAACGTAATAGATTATCATTGCCGTAGGGCTGCACACCCATGAACCGACACATACCCACAAGCTGCGGCCTCGAAATATTGTCCAACATCAGTTCATCACTAAATAACTTTGCAACCTGAAGTGTCTCTTCCGACGTCAAGGGCTCACCACGCTGAGCACGCTCGACGAAACTCATGACTTCGCTAGCGGTAGCTTTTCTCTCCTCGGACACACCTTCCGTGTCGCGTGTGTCCTGCATAATCTCCTTGACCGTGTCTTGCAGAAAACCAGCTAGCGCCACACGTAGTTGCAGCTGACGCTTCATATCTTCTTCACGCTGGAATGAGTCTTTGTACGTGCTCGGCAGCATATTAGGAAACATTTTCAGCGCCACAGGCAGTAGCAGTTCCATAAACGGTACGACCACAAAAAACGCAAATGGCACAAGGCGAAGCAAATCCGCCACTGTGCGCTGCAGCTGTTTGCGCTCACGACGTGAAAGTGCATTACCTTTCAATAGACGACGCAAGATACGCGTCGACGTTGACACATCTGCATACAGCAGTTTGGTTCCCAGCCAGTAATGATCAATTTCATGCTTCACCTTACCCTTCATCTTTACAAGCCACGCCTTTACTGCTGCTGGGTCCGTGGCCAATACTTGTAGTGCATGAGCTACAGCCTTGATTCCCTTCATTGTAAGCTCCGGTGTGCGCTTTAACAAGGTGACAGCACGCTCCGGCATCTTTGGCAGCTCCTTCTCCACGTCTTGTACACGAATCATTCGTCGTTCGCCTCCTTTTTCCAATGCAGACTCGAGCTTTTCCTCCTGTACACGAATCTTACTGCGTCGACGTCTCGCAGCCGCAATTTTCTTCTTCAGGGCAGCTGCTTCAGCAGGTGTTGGAGGTGCATCCACTGAGGATGTAGATGGTTTCATGGGTAGACCAGAGAACATACGAGCTTGAGTATAGTATTGTCGTGGTGAGTATTGCAGCAATAATGGCCGCATGAGAAAAGACGACGTCTCGTGAGACGACGACACCAACACGACATTGGACAACTTGCTACTAGAGCAAGTGATGTTATGAATTCGTGGTGGAGCATGAGATAGCACACCTCCTCCTGTAAGACGCAGTAGACGTTGTGGTCGTGTGACGTGACGCAGACTTGATTGCAACATGGAGTCGTCTGTACTTCGTCCGACTATGAATGAATGAGCTCCCAATGCGGTGGCTCGCAAGGTTTATCTCCGAGTGACCATCATTCCAAGTTGCTTATACCTCTCTGATTACATAGTTTCTATAAATATTGTGTTTGCTTGATTAATTAACCTGTTGAAATAAATATAACAATACTTTATTGTATGATTAGCATGACCTTCATTCTGCAATGGTGTCCACAAGTAGTCGTCATCATTATCGTAAGAAGAAGAAGGTGAAGAAGCGCAAAGCTGTGAACCTGCAAGCAAATTTTAATCGTAAGTGCTCACTAGCTGGTGCTTTCAGTATCACATCCGATACAACGTTAGAAGTATTAAGTGACGCCATGTTTCCATCCAATGATGACAAAAATCATGGAGCAATGGACGTTCCTGATGCAGGGAATTCATCATGTGGTGACTTCCATTTACACAGGTGTGTGACATGAATATATATATATATATATGTATACGTATACATTGTCCATGTCTTTTTTGTATCTGATTTAATTTGATTGAAAGCCGAATGATCGTATGGGAATAATCATATTGGAAAAATACGTCTTCTTGCACGTAGTGTATGCAGTGATGGCAAGTTGAGACCCAGTGAAGTGATTGCTAAGGCTGCAGCCAATGGTGTGACATTCATGTCACTTACGGACCATGACACCATGGCTGGTGTGAGTGAGGCGATTGCTACGGCACAGAAACTGGGTGTATTGGTGTTTCCAGGTGTCGAGATTAGTGCCGAGGTGAAAGGTGAAGAGAACCTTCATATTTTGGGCTATTTCTATCCAGGATCAAACAGTGCCGAGTTGGAAAAGCAGATGCTAAAGATACGCACTGGAAGGCACAAGCGTGGCAAAGAAATGCTGAAAAAGCTGGTAGGAGTCACGGTAGAATTGCTGCTGCAAGAGACTTCATTATCTGACTTTTTTTTGTGTTGTAGGAGGCGATGGGCATTAAACTCAAATGGGAAAGAGTATTGGAAATTGCTGGAGAAGCGGCACCGGGTAGACCACATGTGGCTGAAGCTCTTGTAGAAGCAGGTCACGTTGCGAACATTCGGCAGGCATTTGCTCGGTATCTGCACAACGATGGTCCTGCGTACGTCGAGGTACGTGAAGTTTCGATTGCTTGTGCAATTTCATTTGGACGGTTGTCATTGAGGTTTATAACGACATTGGTTTCGTTGTTGCGTACTAGGGTGAGCATTTCCCACCCGAAGACGCTATCAAGCTTATTGCTAGCGCTGGCGGCGTCTCTGTTCTCGCACATCCGTGGTGTTGCAAGGTAGGCTTGTAATTAATTGATTAATTAAGAGTTGTTGCTGTGATTTAATCGCTCGTTGTAGGATCCCATGACGCTAGTTCCAAAGCTGGCTAAGCTCGGTATTCAGGTGCGGTGCGATCACAACGTTGCTTCTAGGATTGTAATTAATGTGGCAATTTGACGTGTTGCTTCATGAATGCATTTAGGGCATTGAGGTTTATCATGATGTGAATAAAATTGACATGTATGGCGCCTTGGCGAAGGAATCTAGCTTGCTGAGGGTACGTCATGGCATAGCCACTAAACTTCCGCAAAAAGTAACGTCTGTGTTATCTGTTTAGATGGGTGGTTCAGACTTTCACGGCATTAACCCAATGACGGAGCGTGCACCTGGTGCTATTCCTTTCCCACGCTTGCATGTTGATCGTTTTCTCGCCCACGCCCTACATGTGTGGGAACGACCGCTTGTAGAGCGGTTGCAGTCAATGGCGAAATCCGTCATGCTGGGAGTTGCTGCATCGCAGGAGCTACTTATCTGGAAAGAGCAGGAACCCCTTGTCCGCCGAACATTGGCTCAGCTTGGCATGGGATTTAAAATGGCGGTAAGTGGAGGAACGCAAGTCCAAGATACCTTCGCCGGTGACGATGCTGGCGTCGTCAACAATCACTACCGAACTATCAGCGTTTATCCTCTTGGGTCGATGAGGCAATTGGGAATTTAGAATGCAAGTCAAATATTCCATCGATGTTGACCAAGAGTTTGCCAAATCAAAACACTGCAGTCAGTGCTCCCGGTTGTCCTTGCTAGCGCCGTTTCAAAAGCTCGAAGACCAATTCAACGTTGGTTCGGCCCATTTCTTCAAATGCATCAGTCTTCGTCACCGCGTCGAAATTGTGCAGCATGAAGGTAACGCACTGGTCTCGCAGCACTGTTGCATTGTGCAGGTCTGCAGCATGAAAAATGCTTGCAGCGTTCTCGACACATAGTGATCCTAGCATTTTACTTTCGCAAATGCGCTTTAGACGCTCGACGCCATACTTTTTCACATTATACAGACAAGTGTGCTAAAAATGAATGCCAGATACTCGATTTACTACGAAGGCTTACGTACCCGATCTGCAGTAACAAACAGCTCCATTGCAATGTCCACAGCAACATCGAGGTAATCTGTGTACAGATACTCCATCAACGAAAGGAAGATCGGCCGACGTACGTCGGTGATTTGAATCTCCCGAGCCCGGCTTTCCAGCATCTGTAGTGACATACAATCAGTTATGTACTTCAGCTTTGTTTTGCTAGCATCCACAAATACCTCTCCCGTGAGCATCGCGTTGAAGTAGCTGCAACGAATACACAGAATTTTGTGTCCGTAAACGGGAATTCCTTCCACTATATGATCACAGGCAACAAACTGGCGAAGTCAGTTACGGCAAGATGGGTACCTTACTACACAGAGCACCACATCGCTACATGTACCGATAAACGTCACATCACTCATGATGTCATTATTCACCAGTATCCTCAAGTCATTGACTAGCGTGCTCTCAGGAATATCAAGCTGAAACTTCTCGCCAAAACGGAATTGCTTGAAGTCGTTCAGTCGATTACTTCCATCATAGCCGCCAAAAATGATAAGACTGGAATCATAAACAGTACCGACGTGGCAGAATCGCTGTCCTGGTGGCTGACCGTTGAAATGCATTGGCTGCCAAACATTTGACTCTTCATCGCCCAGCAAAGAAAATGCAACAAGTCAGCAACAGTGTCAAAAGCCGCTAGAACAATCCACTACTTACCCAAGCTGAGCTCATAGAAATCGTTCACTGCAGTACCCGTACTGCCGCCAAATATGTACATAGAATTTGAGTGGATGACAGCAGCATGACTATCGCGAGCAATAGGAGCCAGCCCCTCAGTTGCAAGCAACGACCAAGCACGCGCATCTAACATTCAATTTTATTCAATGTCAAACTTCTGTCGACAACGAGACACACACATACACATAATAACCGTACCAAAGTCATACACGTAAACATCGCTAAGGTGACGAGATCCATCGTGGCCGCCAAATAGTACGCATGTGTGCTTATGCACCACCAACGACAATCGGTACCTAGCAGAGCAACAGCTTACTGCTGTTAGTCTAGAATCTACATCAAAACAAGTACGGTCAAGCTCACCGAGGTCGAGGCAGTCGTCCGCTTGCTGCCACTAACGACCAAGTCTTAGTTTCTGAGACAAGGGAGCAGAAAAACAGCGACAATTAGCTTGTGGCGGACAACGTGTTGTTCCTTAGTATCAACAGTTCAATAGCCAAACGTACCAAAATTGAACTCGTGCAAGTCATTTCTGTAGCCACCGTCATATCCCCCCAAAACAATACATAGACTTGTCTGGTAAACAGCCAGAAATCCATCGCGCGAGCACACATTAATCAATTAATCCACAACACATCAGTAGAAGAAGGCTCAAAAAACGTACCATGCACCACAGCAGCATGACTATGCCGTGCCGTAGGTGGAAGCCCAGCATTTACCACAACATTGCTCCATCTCTGCGATACTATATGCGTACGATCGCCACAGAACCGTCAAAAGTGTCTAGCCGCTTGCAACGCACCAGTCGATCTGTCGTTACAACGTACAGAAGTTATACTCGACAAAGTCATTGACACGCGAGCGACCGTCAAAGCCTGCAAACACGTAGAAAGAGTCCTTGTAGACAACCGCAACGTGACGGTCGCGTGGACTTGGAGCAGATCCAATGGCGAGGACGACGGACCACAGTTTACGCTTGAAATTGAACTCGTAAAAGTCGTTAATGCGGCTCGATCCGTCGTATCCTGTATCAAGTATCAACAATCAAGTAGAATGTATCATCAAATTAAAGCTCATGTCGTTCATTAAGGGCACAATACGACTGTAAAACGCATTGAAACCTGTGACACTTGGTGTTGCTACATTGTTACAAAGGACTGAAATTCATGCTGCTACAAGCAACTCATAGTGACCCTACCTCCAAAAATATATAGCGAATCGTTGCGTATGGCACATACATGTAATGAACGGTGACAAGGCGCTTCTGATGGATTCTCACACGGTACAGCAACCCATGAGCGTAAGGTAGACTGCATCGCGAGTCTGAATCAGATTAAAGAAACAAATGCATAGAGTTTGTCTAGTCTTCAAATTGGAATGATTTCTACCAATGAAAACATTAGATTAAGCAGGTGGATGGTCTAATGTGTTTTTTGATTGGAAGAAATTCATTGTGTGATATTTGAGTCGACCAAAAGCCATTTCGAAATTCAAGCAGATCAAGCAAGCAATCATGGTACGTCATGTTTAATCCTAGTTCCTCATCATAGTGACTATAGGCTAATACAGTTTTTTTGACTTGCTGCAGTCGGGTATTGGTGGTAAAGGTGGTAAAGGAGGTAAAGGAGGCAAGGGAGTCACGTCGAAGCGAGCACCGCAGTCACGGTCGCAGCGTGCTGGGCTTCAGGTAAGTTAGATCAGCATATGCAACTTGTGGCCACTTGCTCACTTATCTATCTTTCTCGTATCTTGTACTACTGGCAGTTTCCCGTGGGTCGTATCCACCGGTTCTTGAAGAAACGTGTAGCCAATAATCAACGTGTAGGTGCAACTGCGGCTGTGTATGCCGCCGCAATCATGGAATACTTGACTGCTGAGGTGCTCGAGCTAGCTGGCAATGCCTCGAAAGACCTCAAGGTAAAGCGTATCACGCCACGCCATTTGCAGCTCGCTATCCGTGGAGACGAGGAGCTAGATACGTTGATAAAGGCTACGATTGCCGGTGGTGGCGTTATTCCGCACATTCACAAGAACCTCATTAACAAGCAGAACAAGAAGCGGATGCCTCTGTAGAGACAATCGAGAATCGTCTTTTTAGCAAGCATCTACGTACGCAGTTATTTTTTTCTCTCTCCTAATGTCAGCAAATGGTTTGATACACTGTGATCTCGAAGCGTCTATAGCTAAATATGAGTCTCTGATGACTCTTTTGTTCTTTTGCCACGGCATTTTCCCGCGCTTTATGACATATGCTTTAAGCAACATAATCTGCAACATCTAAAAACTTAGTCCCACGTGCAATTGCAATTCTAATTACATTTCTACATGCTACCGGCAACTTTAATTGCGATAGCCGATTTTAGACAATCTTTGGCTGATTTTAACTTGGTGCGACATTAGGACAACCTCAACTACATCCATTCCCCCTCAAGAAGATCGAGTCTTGACATTATTGACAAACAAATAGCAAGACAAGAGACGGACGCTAGGCAGTGCATGGCAAGTAGGGCAAACGTATTGGCAGTACCTGCCACGGCGGCTGACGTGCTTTCTATCGATGACTTTCAGCGTTATCTCTTAGCCACATGCATGCCATTCTTTGGTGAGGGCTTGGCACTCTCAGTCGACGCTTTTAAAGCGGGCCTTAGTAGTGCGGAAACGACCATCACTCTTGAACAATTCGTGACCGACTCGACTACTCGTGTATTGCAGGTTCATTGTTTTCCTGCACGAACTGATGAGGACGCGTCGATGGACGACTCGATGTATCGCGTGCACGTGAACCATGGCATTGAGTACGCACCCGGCAAAGAGAGTGGCCACGACGCAGTGTGCTTTATCAAACGTTTTAGTGCGCCTTTGGCTAAAGATCAAACTCTCAACCACCAGTTGCAGGTTATGACATTGGGTCTTGGCTCCAAGATGAACTTGGACACGACCATTAGCAGCAGTGGAGAAAATACAGAGGAAGAGGACGAAGATAGGGGCAATGTGCTCTCAGTCGTGTACAACTATGTGCATCAGTCACTCACTCCATTGGTGAATGAATACTCCAAAGTGCATCAGCCACAGGGAGACATGATCAACTTGAGCGAAGGCACGAGAGGACTGCCAGCTATTCGACGCAGAATGAAGGAACTAGAGCTGGCATTGCTCCAGTATCAGCAGAATATTGAAATCCCCGAGGTGAACTTGGTCTTCCATCCAGTCATTCAACAAGCTGCCGATCTGGTTCGCGAGAAAGGTGCACTGATCGATGTGGAAGCACTAGGTCTCGAGGAGAAAGTGGACGATATCGTCTTTGTAAACGCTATTCAGGGAGGAGTCAGCAAGTGGATCAAGGAGATACAGAAAGTTACGCGTCTGATTCATGAACCGCTTCCTGGAACGGTAATGCAGGAGATTAACTTTTGGTGCGATTTAAATCGTGCTCTGCTTGTTGTTCAAAAGCAACTCGAATCTCCAGAGGTTGAAATTACGCTTGCGGTATTGCAGCGTGCTAAGCGATATTTGGCCACCGTTACGTTTAGTGCTGATCATGGTCTTGGCCCGGCCATTCAGCACGTATCCAGTGTAATGACATTGATGAAAGAGTTTCCGATGAACTCTATTTTGTCAGCCACGGACATCAACCAACTCAACCAAGGAATAACGCTTGTCTTCACTCACCTGAAGAAAATACGTGTGGCTGACTCGTATAACCTGTCACGGCTACTGCGTTTAGTAGAAGTAATGTCAAGTGACTTAACTCAGCAGACTCTCAGTTTGCTTTGCGTGTACAGCCTCATTCAACTCCCGTTCAGCCAGTTTGAGCAGCTAATTTTGTCTTGCAAGGAGCTTTTTTTGAATTGGCACCGCCAGGTTGCTACACTGTACGACCTTACAAAAGAGCTGTTTAAACGACGAGGTGGATCAATCAACACTGAAAAGCTGCCATTACTCTCCGAGCTGCAGATGGAGCACGCTGCAATTGAAGAGCGATTGCTAGAACTACACGAGTTTCGAGAGCAGCACGAAAAACTGCGTGATGTGATTCAGAGGGTGCTAGGTGGCTCGAATGCTGTTGGACTTGACGAGTCACGCGGAGTTGATGGCACGAACGACGCACTTACTGAGATTGTTTCTGCTTACTCCCAATTAAATTCGCTCAATCCTCTTGATGTTTCTGGTGAAGGTATGACTGAGTGGAAGAACTTGCGCAAAACGTACGATCTGTGCATCGATCGCGTTGAAGGTCGTATTATCAGCAGCCTTACTAGCCGGTTGAGTGCTACGTCAAATGCTGATGAGATGTTCCGCGTGTTTTCCAAGTACAACGCGCTATTCTTCCGTCCTCGTATTCGAAGTGCAGTTCAGCAATTCCAAATGCAGCTGATTGAAAATGTTAAGGAGGATGTGAGCAGCCTCCAGGCTAAGTTCCGTGCTCACTATGCCTACTCCGAGGCGTCTCGGACCAGTAAACTGCGTGATATTCCTCCTATTGCTGGTGCTGTGATGTGGGCGAAACAAATTGAACGAAAGCTAAAAATGTTACTATCACGGGTAGAAAGTGTTCTTGGTGTCGGTTGGGAACAACACGTGGAAGGCAAGGCGCTTAAAGCAGCAGCTGAAGCATTTATTGCAAAACTCAATCCTCAGCTTATCTTCGATCAGTGGGTGAATGATTTGGCGTCAATGCCGATTTTTGACATTAAAAATATTATTTTAAACATTGTCACGGAGGACACGCCACAAGGTGAAACGAAGAAGTTGGTAGTAGCATTCAACCAACAAATTGTGACGTTGTTCAAGGAAGTGCGTAACCTGGAGTGGTTGGGCTACCGAGTGCCTTTCACGCTTAAAATGATTGCTGAAGATGCAAAGTCAAAATACCCGTTTGCAATGTCCCTGGACGCTAGCCTCAAGACATATGTAAGCTCGTGCCGACGTATCCAGCCAATTTTTGAAACTTTGACTGCTGCGTACGTTCGTGACGTCCGTACTACGATTGGAAAGACGTTTTCGAAGGGCAACGAAATGCGATGGCACGCAGATGGACTGGGTGAATATGTCACCGAACTTGCAACCAAAGTAGAGCTCTTGCATGACAAGGTTGATGATTTGCTGCAGAAGACCAGTGACATTGACACTCTGCTCGAAAGTATACGTACTAGTTCCGACTTTGAGACTAGAGCTGTTCAAGCAGTTTTAGTGAAAGTGCAAGCGCATGTTGACGAGCTGAGCTTGGCCGGATATGCGAATTTGCATGTGTTTGTGAAGAACTTGAACGGTTTGATCAGTGAAATTCTCGGCAAGACGCTTGAGGTGCTGCTACAGCGTTGGGTTGATTGTTTTGGTCCTCACCCTGATGCGAAATCGTTTCAAGCTGCTCTTGCTGAGGCCAGGCTTACCGTATCGACTCATCAAATTTTACTAAAAAACCAAGTGCTGTATTTGGAGCCTTCAGTTGGTGATGCGCGACGAGATTGGTTGGCCCAGCTTCAACACCTGCTGAATTCTGTGTGCGACCTGCCAAAAATTCAAACATCAACTTATGAAAATGTGTATGGAAAGTCAACTGTGCCAGCCATGTTGTCACTACCCCGCAAGAGTGCCCGCTCTAGACGAAGAGAGGGTGTATTTAAGGAAGCGCTCAACCAAGTACCTCTGGATCTCTTGATTAAAGCGTACAGTGTGCTGGATGTTACTCTGAGTGATGTAGAAAAGTATGCGTCAACATGGCTCCAGTACCAAGCATTATGGGATATGGACGCTCAGAGTGCCCTGAACAGTGTTGGAGAAGACCTCCGGAAATGGCAGCATATTTTGGTTGCGATAAAGAACGAACGTAATGGATTTGATGCCGTTTTTAACACGAAGCGGTTCGGTCCCGTGGTCATTAACTACCAACAAGTGCAGGCTCAAGTGAATGTGAAATATGACGCTTGGCACAACGAGTTCCTTGCGTACTTTGGTGATCTTCTTCGTGACCAGATCAACGCATTCTATTCAACGATTTCATCAAAGCGGACGCTTCTGGAACAGCATGCACTCGAAGCAGCCACCGCACAAGTTGTTGCTGCAATCACGCTAATCCAAGAAATGCGTCAGATGCGATTGTGCTGGGAAGAAACGATGGAGTCATTTGAACAGGGGGAGCGCTTGCTGAAAAAACAACGCTATAGGTTTTCAGCCGATTGGCCGTCGTTGGCAAATGTGGAAGGAGAGTGGGAAGCTTTTGTTCAGCTTCTCGAACGCAAGACTGCTGCGATGGAAAGTCAGCTCCCTCAATTGCAGGCAAAGATCATGGAAGAGAAGAGCGCATTGGACAGTAAGATTACCCAGGCTGTGATCGAGTGGGACAACACAAAGCCGTTGCAAGGCGGCCAATCAGCCAAGGCGGCCACCGAATTGCTAATCGTATATGATACTCGTTTTAAGCTGCTGCGGGCTGAACAAGAGAAAACGAATGCTGCGCTGGACGCTCTGAACATTTCCCATGTGTCAGGAATGAGGGACTCTTCAGTTATCGACGACCGCAGCTCGTACGGTGGACTTTCAAGAGCCATGGAGGAACTGTCTGGATTGGATGAGGTCTGGAAAAGTATATCGAAGGTCTGGGCTCGTGTTGATGAGCTACAAGATACGCTGTGGTCTGCAGTCCACCCCCGCAAAGTCCGGAAGCAGCTCGATGAAATTGTCGATGAAATGCGCCGCTTTCCTTCTCGGGTGCAACAGTACGAAGCCTTTGAGCATCACGCAGCAATTATCCAGTCTCGCAAGTCTATGAATTCTTTGCTGTCGGAACTGAAATCGGATGCTGTTCGCGACCGCCACTGGAAGCAGATACTGCAACTGCTGAATATATCATCTTCGTTCACGGAGTTGACCTTGCGCAGTTTTTGGGAATCTAAGCTATCTGCCAACGATAACGAGCTAAAGACGATCATTCGTACGGCTCAAGGTGAAATGGCGCTTGATGAGTTTTTACGCCAGGTGTCGGACTACTGGACGAATTATCAGTTGGACTTGGTCAATTACCAAAATCGATGCCGAGTAATTCGTGGTTGGGACGAGATGTTTGCGAAGCTTGATGAGCACCTCAATAGTCTAAGCAGCATGAAGCAATCGCCATACTATCGCGTATTTACGGAGCTGGCTACCAGCTGGGAAGACAAACTAACTAGGATTCGTAGTATTCTGGACTTTTGGATTGATGTCCAAAGACGCTGGGTGTACCTTGAAGGCATCTTTTTCGGGTCGGCGGACATTAAACAGCAATTGCCGAAGGAGTTCGCACGATTCCAAAGTATTGACAACGAGTTCACTTCGACTATGAAGCGTGTCGCACACAAGCCAATGATTGTTGATGTTGCTAACATTCCGAACTTGTATCATTCGCTTGAGCGTCAGCAAGACATGATGGGTAACGTCCAACGTGCCCTCGGTGAATATTTGGAGCGCCAACGAGCTGCTTTCCCTCGCTTCTACTTTGTGGGTGATGAAGACTTGCTTGAGATGATAGGTAACAGTAAGGAGCCAATGCAGATTCAGCGTCATCTGTCGAAGATGTTTGCTGGGATATCTTCGTTAGAAATGGATAGCAGCGTTGGCGTTATTGTTGGAATGGCTTCACGTGAAGGTGAGATTGTGCGGTTTAAGGAACCTGTGAAGACAGCGCAAGATACCCGCATCAACGTTTGGCTAGGCAAAGTAGAGGAACAAATGCGTAAAACACTGTCACTTCTATTGGAGGAAGCCGTGCGCTCCTATCCGACAGACGAAAGTGCCGATTTGTATCTGAAATGGGTGTCAGAGTTCCCAGCTCAGGTGATCATTCTTGCTACCCAGGTGCAGTGGTCAAATGATGTCGAAAGCGTCTTGAAAGCCAGTGGTGATGACTTGGCGGTGGTTTTGGAGCAGTTGGATAAGCTGCTACTCATTTTGAGCGAGCGTGTTCTCACGGATGTGAAGAACGATGTTCGGAAAAAGTATGAACAGCTAATTACTGAATTGGTGCATCAGAAAAGTGTAACTAAACGCCTAAGCCAAGCCAACGTAAGCAGCGCAGATGATTTTCGCTGGCTGTATCACATGCGTCATTACTTTCAAGCAAAGGAATTGGACCCGCTCAAAAAGCTTACCATCCAGATATCCAATGCAAGCTTTTCTTATGGATTTGAGTACTTTGGTGTTGGAGAGCGGCTTGTGCAAACTCCTCTTACAGAACGTTGTTACCTCACACTGACTCAGGCGTTAGACTTTGGAATGGGTGGAAATCCATTTGGTCCTGCTGGCACGGGCAAAACAGAGTCAGTTAAAGCTTTGGGATCGCATCTAGGTCGTTTTGTGCTGGTCTTCAACTGCGATGAGCACTTCGATTTCCAAGCCATGGGGCGAATTTTTGTGGGCCTGTGCCAAGTCGGTGCTTGGGGTTGCTTTGATGAGTTTAACCGCCTCGAGGAGCGTGTACTCTCTGCTGTGTCTCAGCAAATTTTGGCAATTCAAAGTGGAGTGTCATCTTTGAAGCTCACAAAGGTGTCTGGCAACTCGCAGGCAGTAACAAATGCCAGCAGTTCTAACGCTACCATCGAGCTGCTCGGTAAGAGCGTAAAGCTGAATCCTGATGTGGGTATTTTTGTGACGATGAATCCAGGGTATGCTGGGCGATCAAATTTACCCGACAACTTAAAGCAATTGTTCCGGAGCATTGCAATGGTTGCTCCAGACCGCGAGTTGATCGCGCAGGTGATGCTATTTTCCCAGGGTATTACCACGGCCGAGCAAATTTCTGCCAAGGTTGTACTTTTGTTCAACCTCTGTGAAGACCAACTTTCGAAGCAACCTCACTACGATTTCGGACTTCGTGCATTAAAGAGCGTTCTTGTGAGCGCTGGTCAGCTTAAACGAAAGATCACCCAAGCACAAGATAGTTCAGTACCAGCAAGCATTGAGAAGTTGGAAACGAAGGCACTGATTGGCTCTATTACTGACACGATTTTGCCCAAGTTAGTTTCAAGCGATGTGCCTGTGTTTGAGACGCTATTGAAGGGTGTATTCCCAGGCACTGATGCCCACCATATTGAAGAAAACAATCTACGCTTAAATATCATAGAACTGGCAACGAAGGCCAATTATGTCGTCAGTGAGCAATGGGTCGAAAAGGTTTTGCAACTGTACCAGGTTATGCAACTTCGCCACGGTGTGATGCTTGTTGGCGCGTCTGGAACAGGAAAATCGAGTGCATGGCGCGTATTGATGGATGCCATGGAACTTGTTGACGGCGTAAAGGGTGAAGCCCATGTAATTGACCCAAAGGCTCTTTCAAAGGAACATCTCTATGGTGTTCTTGATAACACGACGCTGGAGTGGACGGATGGTGTCTTTACTTATTTGCTCCGTCAGATCCTTAACAGCGTAAGAGGTGAAAGCGAAAAGCGACACTGGATTATTTTTGACGGTGATGTAGACCCGGAATGGGCTGAGAACTTGAACTCTGTGCTAGACGATAATCGACTACTTACGCTCCCGTCTGGAGAACGTTTGGAGATTCCACCGAATGTGTGGATTATGATGGAAACAGAGACACTGCGTTACGCAACATTGGCGACTGTCAGTCGCTGTGGCATGGTTTGGTTTTCGCAAGATACGGTCAAGACGTGCCATATTGTTGAGCACTATCTGCTGACGATGCGCGACAACGTGTCTGTCGTATCATCGTTCTCCCTTCAGCCTAGTGAGAGCGAGCTCGCAAAGAAGACTGCTCATACTTACGTTGCTACTCTCCGTGATCTGATTGATCGTGGGGATGATATGCCCTCATTGATCGAGGTTTGTTTGGAGCAGGCGATGGGCCAAACACACATCATGGAAGTCACGGCGCTGCGTTTACTTATGTCGATGTTTACGCTGCTTCAAAGGGGATTGTCTCGCATCAACGAGTACAACGAAGGTCATTCTGATTTTCCGATGACGGTTGACTTGATGTCCCGCTTTGTACCAAAGTGGTTTGTATTCTCAATTTTGTGGGGTTTCGGTGGTTCGATGGACTCTGTGAATCGCATCGACCTTTGCAATTTCGTGGTGCAAATGCTCGAAAACCACTTGGTATTCCCAATATCTGGGCCGTCGACTCAAGACAACACTCTGCTCGAGTATGAAGTCAATATTGATGACGGTGAATGGCGTCAGTGGTTACAATCGATCCCGCAATTGGATCTCGAAAGTCACCAGGTGCTGTCTACTGATGTTGTAGTAACCACAGTGGATACGATTCGTCACGTTGAAGTGCTACGAGGATGGCTTTCGCAACATCGACCGCTCATTCTCTGTGGCCCTCCTGGCAGTGGTAAGACGATGACTCTGACCTCGACCATCAGCTCACTTCCCGAGTTTGAATTTGCAAGCCTCAATTTCTCGTCTGGAACTTCACCTGAGCTTATTTTGAAGACATTCTCTCAGTATTGTGAGTACAAGCGAACTCCCAATGGAATGTTGCTTGTGCCAAATGCACCAGAGAAATGGCTAGTCGTATTTTGTGACGAAATTAATCTTCCTGAAACTGATGCATACGGAACACAACGCGTGATCACGTTCTTGCGACAGCTAATCGAGCAAGGTGGCTTTTGGTTGGGCGGCAAGAACACTTGGGTGCGGCTGGAACGCATTCAATTTGTTGGTGCTTGCAACCCACCGACGGACCCAGGGCGCGTTCCGATCCCACTGCGTCTATTGCGCCATGCGCCTGTGCTTTTGGTTGATTTCCCCTCGTATCCATCGCTCAAGCAGATTTATGGAACATTTAACCGTGCTCTGCTGAAGCTTACCCCATCTCTGCGATCGTACGTGCAACCTCTAACTGATGCTATGGTTGACGTGTACGATAGCAACCAGAAGAAATATACGGCAGAGATGCAACCACATTACATCTACAGCCCCCGAGAATTGTCGAGATGGATGCGGGCACTGTACGAAGCCATTGAGCCATTGGAATATGAAATTGACATTGAAATGCTAGCCAAGCTTGTATTTCATGAGGCGCTACGACTTTTTATGGATCGTTTGGTGACATCTGAAGAGCAAAAGTGGTGTTTCCACATGATAAAAGAGACTCTAAGAAATCATTTTCCACAGAGTGCTACAGCTTTAGAGGTGGTGGAATATGGAGGTCACCACCCGATTTTATTCAGCACATGGCTCTCAAAAAATTACACGGAAGTCACGACGACTGACCTACGTAAGCATGTTGAAGCCCGCTTGCGCGTCTTCTACGAAGAAGAACTTAACGTTCAGCTGGTGGTTTTTGATTCCGTGATTGACCATGTGCTCCGCATTGATCGTGTTCTTCGTCAACCTCTCGGTCACTTGTTACTAGTTGGGGAAAGTGGCGCAGGCAAGACCGTCCTATCTCGCTTTGTTAGCTGGATGAACGGCATGTCTGTGTTTCAAATCAAGCTAACGTCAAATTATACTCTGGAAAACTTTGACGATGACCTGCGCGTTGTGCTAAAGCGATGCGGTTGCAAAGCCGAGAAGATTTGTTTCATATTTGACGAATCAAATGTGCTTGATTCGGCTTTCTTGGAGCGTATGAATGCTTTACTGGCTTCTGGCGAAGTACCAGGTCTGTTTGAAGATGATGAATACACGTCACTTATGCATGCTTGCCGTGAAGCTGTGCAGCGTGATGGGGTGATTGTGGAAAATACCGAAGACGAGTTGTTCCGTTACTTCACCAAACAAGTGCAACGTAATCTGCACGTAGTATTCACAATGAACCCAGCTTCGGGCGACTTCCAAAACCGTACTAATACATCCCCAGCTCTCTTCAACCGATGCGTAGTTGACTGGTTTGGTACTTGGAACGATCACGCGCTAGCACAGGTGGCGTATGAGTTTACAAACACACTAGATCTTGCTGGGCCTACGGACTACGTCATTTCTGATGATGCTGCAGAAGTTTTGGCGAAACTGATTCCGCATATTGCTACAGGAACATTCCGTGATGTACTGATCGGAAGTATTGTTCAGTTTCACCACGCTGTCCTGCTTCACATGCGACGACTTCAAAAGCGTCATATGAAGTACAATCACGTATCTCCTCGAGACTATCTCGAATTCATTCGCCACTTTGTGTCGCTGTATTCAGAAAAGCGTGCTCAGGTAGAGGATCAGCAACTTCACTTGAATGTCGGTGTGCAAAAACTGCAGGCTACTCGTGAGCAAGTGGCCGAGCTACAAGGTCAGCTCAGCCTTAAAGAGAACGAACTTAAGAAAAAAGATGTGGAAGCTAACGAAAAGCTTCAGCAGATGGTGCAGGAGCAAAATGAGGCACAAGAAAAAAAGAAGGATACAGAGGCACTAGCTGTTGATCTTGCGAACAAGGACGAAGAGATACGCTCGCGGAAAGAGGTTGTCGAGGCTGACCTTGCTCAAGCCGAACCCGCGCTTCTGGATGCCCAAGCGTCTGTGAACTCGATTCGTAAGGCGCAGCTAGATGAAATTCGAGCACTCGCGCGGCCTCCTGCTGCCGTCCGAATGACCATGGAGGCAGTTGCAGTGATGCTAGGCGAGTCGAGTCTAGAGTGGGCTGATTTACGTCGCTTCATTCGAAAAGACGACTTCATTTCCCAGGTTGTACACTTTGACTCCGAAAAGCTGACGGCTCGTCAGCGACACACAATTCAAGTCAATTACATCAACAAGGTTGACGAGTTCGATTATGAAAAGGTTAATCGCGCATCGAAGGCGTGCGGCCCTTTGTACAAGTGGATTGTTTCGCAGATTAGTTATACAAATATCCTGCATAAGATCCAACCGTTACGAGACGAGGTGCAGACTTTGATCGATACGTCGTCCGATCTGCGTGCGAGATATGAGCAGGCCAAAACGACCATCGATGCGCTTGAGATTCGAATCGAGAACCTTAAGCACGAATATGCAGCGCTGATTAACGAGGCGCAACTGATTACAAACGACATGGCTTCCGTGTCCAAGAAGGTGGAGCGTTCTGTTGCACTACTAAAAAGTCTGCTGCAAGAAAGTGAGCGATGGGAGGCTGGTTCTAACGACTTTGAAACCCAGATGAAGACACTCGTGGGAGACACTTTGTTATCCTCTGCTTTTCTCACATATATTGGTTTCTTAGATTTCCAGCAGAGAAAAATTCTGATTCAGGATTGGCGAGACATTTTAGAATTGATGGGTATCTGCACAAAACCGCAGTTGAGCTTTGTGGATTATCTGTCGCATCCAAACGAGCAGTTGGAGTGGCAAATAAGTGATTTGCCATCCGACGAGTTATGCTACGAGAATGCTATCATTCTGCAGCGCTTCCACCGCTTCCCGCTAATTGTTGATCCGTCTGGGCAAGCGAACAATTTCATTATGAAGTATTACAGTCTGAAAACGAATGCAAAAATTGCACAAACCTCGTTCTTGGACAGCTCGTTTATGAAGGTGCTGGCCAGTGCGATTCGCTTTGGCACTGCCCTTTTAGTTCATGAGGTGGAAAACATCGACCCAATTCTGAATCCTGTGTTGAACCGAGAGCTTTACAAAACGGGTGGTCGTGTTTTGATTCGTCTTGCAGGAGAAGAGATTGATTATTCACCGGACTTTCGACTCTTCTTGATTACGCGAGATCCGTCTTGCCGCTTCTCACCCGACATTTGCAGTCGTGTGACTTTTGTCAATTTCACAGTTACCCCGAGCTCCTTGGAAAGTCAGGGACTGAGCATCCTTCTTAAGAGTGAACAGCCCGAAGCAGAAGAAAAACGCAATAATCTTCTAAAATTGCAAGGAGAATACCAAGCAAAGCTGCGTGAATTGGAGGATTCTCTGTTGCAGCAAATCAACAATGTGCAAGGCAACATTCTAGACGACGATCGTGTCATCAATGCTTTGGAGAGTATGAAAGCAGAGGCAGCCCAAATCTCGCAGCAAGTAGCAAAAACGGAATCTACGATGGCAATTGTGGAGGCAGCAACAAGCCGCTACCGCCCACTTGCAAAAGCAAGTTCACGGTTGTTTTTTGCGCTGGAGAACTTGTCATCGGTCCACTTCTTGTATCAGTACTCGCTGGATTTCTTTCTATCACTGTTGTCCAAGGTATTGGCTCAGCCGATTGTAGAAGGAGAATCGATGCGCCTTGCTAGTATTTCTACTGGGCTTTTTCTACAGCTTGCTAGACGTGTGAGCAGAGGTCTTGTTGAAAATGACAAGCTGATGTTTGCAATCCGTTTGTCTCAAATTTACCTGGAACTCGAGCAGCAAAATGCAGCAGTCGCTGAAGTTAAGGCGACTACGGATAATAATTCTGTGTTTGATGGGCCTACTGACGAGGATATGGACTTGCTGCTTGGAAACTCGTTAACTTTCTTCAAAGCTGATAGCAGCACTGCACATCGCAGCGAGCTTGAACAATTGCTACCAGCTTTTTCAAAGAATGACATTGACCAGTTGTTGAAAATGATGAAGCTGCCGACATTCAAGCATTTGGGAACGCATGTGCGTGAGTATGCCGCTCAGTGGAACGCCTTTATCAAGACCCCATCAGCTGAGGAGGCTCTTCCAGCGGATTGGGACACGCCATACGCTGCAGCTTCGACAAATCCCCGTTTGGCTGCGTTTAGAAACATGATTGTCATCCACTTCTTACGGCCTGATCGGATTATGTTTGCATCGGAGCGATACATTGAGCTGGTGTTTACGGCGTCATTCCCGTGGCGTGGTGAGATCGAACTTTCTAAGAATGTTGAAGAAGACACTCAGGCGGCACGTGGTGTGCTTTTATGTTCAACCACGGGGTTCGACCCAAGTGCGCAGATTGACGAGCTTGCTGCTGCCCAACAAAAAAAGTACAATTCCGTGTCTATGGGTTCATCCGAGGGCTTTGATGCGGCTGAAAAGAGTTTAAATACGGCACTGAAGCACGGCTCCTGGCTGTTGCTTCGCAATGTGCATTTATGCCCGTCATGGCTTGCAAGTGTGGAAAAAAAGCTCTATAACGCGCGGGAAAGTGTTCACCCGAACTTTCGCCTATTCCTGACAAGCGAGATCAACCCGAACTTGCCGGTGAATCTCGTCCGCATGTGCGATATTTTTGTATTTGAGCCGCCGAGTGGCATGAAGTTGAGTATGGTGCGATCGCTCGATACGGTGGCAGCTGAGCGCATGAACCGCTCACCGACTGAACGCGCCCGGCTGTACCTTCTGCTTGCTTGGTTTCACGCTCTAGTCCATGAACGATTGCGGTTCGTACCAATAGGCTGGTCCAAAACGTATGAGTTCAGTCAATCTGACTTCCGTGGCGCTTGCGATGTGATTGACCGCTGGGTAGATTCGGTGGCCGGCAACCGCGTCCATGTTGCTCCTGACAACATTCCGTGGACAGCGATTCGAATTACGCTGAAGGAGTCGGTGTACGGCGGTCGCGTAGACAACACGTTTGACCAGGAGCTGATGGACACGCTTTTGGAGCACGTTTTCACGGCAGCCAGCTACGAAAATACCTTCGAGCTTGTTGCTCCTGGTGAAGGCAATGATGCCGGACTAGTGGTCGCTGAGGGAAAAACTAAGGCGCAGTTCATGGACTGGATCCTTGCTCTTCCCACCACAAACCCACCATCATGGATGGGTCTTCCGCGCTCAGCGGAAACAATGGCGCTTATCAGCCAAGGTACGCGCATGCTACGTAATTTGCAGGTGATGCAAGACTTTTATGGAAGTGAAGGCGAAGACGACAGTGCTGGCGCAGGCGAAGAGAACAAGATGGTCTTGGGTACTGCTGCTGCAGATGGCGACGATGCGCGCCCTAATTGGGTGCAGGATCTAGACCGTCGTGTGGGATTGTGGCTAGAGCTATTCCCTGCCGAGGGACTTTCCGTGCCTACTGTGCGGGATCCTGCGCACTTCGGCAACCCTGTTTATCGCTGCATGTTCCGTGAGCTAGAACTCGGAGCACAATTTCTGGCCAACGTGGGTGGTTTGCTACGTACCGTACAGCAAGTATGTGCTTACAAGGCTAAACCTTCAAATGAAACTCGAACAGCTATGCGTACTCTTTATCGAGAGCAGGTGCCCGAGCAATGGAAACGACTGTACCGCGTCACGAATGAGCTTAGTTTGAGTGAGTGGCTTACGGACTTTTCTAGACGGTTGCACCAGCTAAAGGAGTTGGCACAGCTTCCTCCAGCGGACATCTTGCAAAAGTCTGGTGGTATCTGGTTGGGCGGATTCTTCTCACCTGAGGCTTTCGTGACGGCCGTTCGTCAAAGTGCAGCATCAGATCTTGGATGCTCGTTGGATGAATTACACCTGCTTGCTGATGTCGAGGACCCTTCGGGCTCATCAGCTGGTGGTTTTGCTGCTTGTGGACTTTTGCTTGAGGGTGCCACTTGGAACTTCACTGGCTTTGCGCCGTCAAATGAAATTCGCAACAGCTTGTCGGCATTGTACTTCCGTTGGGCTACTTGGACCACAGAAACAGATGAGCTTCGACTGCTTCCAGTGTATTCGAACAGCAAGCGTGAAACTCTGGTGTTCTCCGTGGCAGTAAATGTGAAGGATTCTGCGTTTTCCAAAAAGCAGTGGGTACAGCGATCAGTAGCACTTGTGCTCTGGGAGTTGCAGACCTAGAGGTGGCAATGGAAAAAGCATGTTGAGCCAAATGCTTTATACGTTTCCTAATAACTGTAGGTCGACGACTTGCATTGATTAAGAAAAAAGTTCATGTCTTTTTCGACTGAATTTGTGCATGGTGTTTTCTAACATTCTTCAACTATTTTACTAGCTCCGGCTTCGGTTTTACTAAGGAAAAGTCGCTGGTTGCGGCCGAGATGCACCTCCATTTGCTTGCAAGTTGGTGTAAGCGGTGGTATTCCTTTGCATATAGTTCGACGGCGTGAACCGGCATATCGCAGTAGATACTTGCCTTCACTAGAGGCTCAAGAAGTTCATGATGCTTTATCCAATCCGCACCTGCATCCAATGCAAGGCTAGTGTAAAGACGGCATGGAAGCAAAAGCATCTATCCATGTCGATAGGCACCAACCGGCTTTGGAACCAAAATGCAATACGAAGGACTGCAACAAACACGAAGAGCCAGGGTTGCAATGGGTTGGAAAGTGCGCGTGCAGAGTGCTGAAGTCAACTGTTCTGTCAATGGCCAACACGAACAGCATAACACGTCGAATGCAAAACTCATTGACTTAGTTTGATCAACAACCACGGCGTTTCAACATCAATTTCTCACAAATCAAGCCTTGCTTTCACTATCAACGGACTTTTCCATTGTTGCTATACTGTTCCATGCTCGTCCATTGAGCTTGAGGTGATCTCATCTTAGCGCACAGTCAGACACAATTCGCGCCATATCAAACAACACTTGCGTTAGTCATCGCTTCGACTCCTCAAAACTACTGCGCCACTCTTGCATTAGGGCAGCAAGCACTGGTCGTAATTCACCAACTGTTATACCGGTGGCACATGCTTTACTGCCCTTCTGTTGTCGTTGGTTCTTGCTGGACGAAAAGGTAGTACCAAGTGCTCGAAGCACATGCAGTATATTCACTTTTGCTGGTTTCAACATGAGCAATACGTTCAGCTCTGTGGAGTTACAATGCTTAATGCAATACTCCAGAAGTGAAAAGTAGACAGCATTTAAAACAGCAGCCTGGGTCTGAACTTCCTCTACTTTTTCGTCATCACCAGAACTTTGTACATCTTGTGCGCCTTTTTGTAACAGCAAAAACTTCTGCTTGCTTTCTTCGTAAAGGTGACATCGTAAAAGCGCATGGCAGGCTTCCGTGTGATGGCCACAGTAACTCAATAGGTCAACATAAGCAAATAAGGAGGCCTTAGCCGCTTGTCCAACATGGCTCTCCTTACATTCAATAATCTTGCTCGTGAAAATCTCCAAGGGAGGAAAAAGCGTCAGGCGCCCGCTCCGCGTGCGACCGAGCCAAAGATTGGTGCCCAGATAGCGAAAACAGTCGAGGACAGAAACGCTCGACGCATCGGATGAACGGAAGCAGGGACGCAGGCTCATGCAATAGATACAAGCGGCTCATCGACTCCAGATACATGTGCTTCGAAAATGAAGACGCTACAACATGACGGAAATCGGCCAAAACGCGTTCGCTGTGGAACAATAGATGACTTGGTGTCGCTTCTGATTTAATCACGTTCGATTGACAGTCGTCCTTGAAAGCAACGCCGTTCAAGAGGAAAGACTCGAGCTGTAAAAGCCATTGCCGCCCTTCCTGTTCCGAGCTAGTACTACAGCCAGCAGCGAAGCGCAAGCTGCTCATTGGGCGCAATTTCCGGCTAAGTCGGAAATTACGCGTATCTTCCGGATCTACTATTGAATCTTTCCTTTGGAGAGTACTTTGCTTATCCTGTGCAATGGACAAGTCATCTTCGTTCGCGAGTACAGCAGTAAGATCGCCCATTGCTTGAAACTTCCTGCTGTCAGAACCTTTACGAGACGATACAAAAGACGACGACTTCAAGATACTCCTGCTTGCTTCCAGACGCAAGAGCTTACGCTTGGCCAAAACGATCCAGTTGGAGAGATGATGCAGCGACTTAAGATTCGCAGGCGTCAGTCGAAGCAAGTAGTTGCCATTGTTATTGGTAGCACCTGGACCGTCTAACCGTCCATATGAACGGATGCCACTTGCGATACTGTAGATCACGGCTACGTGTTGTGTGAGCTCGTGAACAATGTGCTCAGATGTAGCTCGATTATCAAGAAGCGCCAGGAGAAAGGCTGGACTTGACACAGTGTTCCAGATTGCTTCCCAGGCTTCGGGATGACTTTGTGCTGGGTCCATTGCCGAAGGAGTCACTCTCTCCAAAACGTCGAGAGCGTAGCGCACCGCCTCTAGTCGCAAGTCACCTGTGCCATAATCTTTCACTGCCCAAAACGCTGCCTCGGGGTCTTCAATCGCCGGTGACTCATCGCTGCTCTCTTGTTTCGTAGACTGTGTCTGATGTAATGCAGCAGCAACTACCTTTGCCGGAGGCAGGCGGATCGTCCAAAACCCACGCGGAGCCCATAATCCTACTGAGCTTGCACTACCCAAAATGGTCCAAAACTTGCATCCGCATTGCTCAGAAGAAGTTGCTATTGAAGCTGGCAAGCTTACGGTCTCGAGGAGTTTACCAGCAATCAGCGTGTAAACATAAAGCAAGCTGCGTGTTAGCACCAGGAAGACGTGGCGGTGTGCAGCAACATCTACCACATGAAAAGCCTCGTCATTGTGGTCTTCAGCTGTACTACTGATGAGCTGCGGCCAGCACGCCAACGTCGTTAACTTTCGAGAAAAAAGCATGGTACACGATCCATTTTTACGTTTATCACTGCGGGAAGTAGCAGGCGAGTTTGAAGGCTTAGGCGTCACAAGATAAATTTCACCAGACTCGCGGAGCAGAATCACAATTTCGCCAGTCACGCTGTGCACACACACCATGATCTGTGATATCTCGGGGACCGCGCATGCCTCATCAAGCGAGAAGATCTTGTGCCAATCAATAGCCACAGTCTTCAGTGAAGCCACTGAACTTCGATAGAATATGCCCTGCGTTCTGGAAATTGCAAAAAGTCCTAATTTTGAGCTCAGTAGGTTAACAACATCATTACACAATGGTTTTGAGATAAACGCACTTCCAACTACCATATCGGTAGCCCGCAGTGCATCACGTGTGCGTTCAAAACGTAGTCGTCGAATTTTTAGCTTAGGCTCGTGTTTAGCTGCTGTTGACCACCACACTAATTCCGCCGCACCATTAGAACCATTTCCACTGTTGCCTCGTTTGTCAACACTTGACGTGTTGCTATCTAGCGGTAAACCGCATGTTGTAAATGCCACAACCGGCCGTGTCCATTTTAAATTTGGGTTTTCCAAGAAGCATAATTTATTTAGATATACCCACTGAAACAAATCTGCTTGCCACTCCCACAAAAAAGCCATCCCATCTTCTCTTGCCACAATACATCGTAATGGAGCTACAGTTTCACTAACCCTTGAAGATGTTGTCGTATTCATCGACGACGACGACGAATTGAACGAGTCGTTAAAGTTTTTGTTTTCACTTTGACAACGATCCCCAAGTGTGGCACGACTTTCGTCTTTACTCTGAAGAAACCGAATGGACACTATTTTGCAATCAAACCGTGCACAAAGCAGTGGAGACTTTATCACTACATTGTCTTCTTTTCCTGCTCCTGTAGTCCGTGTTGAAAATGATAACAGTTCTTCAAGTAACTCAAGTTCATCCACTTGTTGTGGTGGTCGTAACTGTGTTTCCATCGTATTCTGTATGTGTCTTGTGCTTCTTCTTGTGCTTCTTCTTCCTTTGTTTATCTTGTCATGAAAAGGTCCTTTTGATCTAGCATAAAAATGTGGCAATGCATCTAAAACATACACAACACGTGTAACACCACCACCATCACCACCACCACAAAAAGCAGTAGAAGTTTGTTGTGATGGAAGACATGACATTGAATCAGTCAATGAAGCAGTCAATTGGGTCTCAAAAGTCCGTCGTATGAATACTAAAGCCAAGTGACCAGCCGTTGGTACACAAAGTTCTAATTCATATGGAAAATCAATACAACATGGATCATCATCATCTTCATCAGCTTCATCTTCTTGGCTTTGATTCGAGATATTTAATGCACGTAGTAGACGTCCACCACGTATTACAGGCCATGGAAGACCTCCATATACTATGTGCGTATTAGTATTAGACATAGTACTAGGGCGCACCATGTAAAGAGTTTGGAACGGATTAGCCACGAGAAAGTGAGAGATTAGTATCGAGGAAGAATGGGATGTCGTATGTCAGGAAATGATTGCAGCGTATGGATCACAATATTAATGTACGTACAGGTTTTTTGTACTTATGAGATCAAGAAAAAGGTTTTTTCTTGTACGAAGACTAGCTCTTTCTCTCTTTATTGTGATTATTATCCTTATAAGTTATAAAATACCCAGTCCATTCTCCTTCTTCTTATCTCTTTGCTCAAACTTCTTGTCGCATTAGTATGCTGAATTCAATGCACGCTTTTTATTCTCTAACACAAGACGTTGTGCAATACTTATCAACCAACCTAAAATAAACGTGCCAATGCGTTGGAAGAACAATGCAGGAGCGTTCTTTAACACGTAATCGTTCCTACAGTATGAGCTCCTGATGGCAATAAAATCCCTCAGCGGACGTACATCCGTTTGTCCATATGGACGTACGTCATCTACTGATCCGTTAATACTACAAGGTAACGTCAATCGCTAAAGCACCTGTCGCACGCATGTCGATATATATTTGAGGTTAAACAAAGTGCTATTGAGAAAGTATCAGATCGAAGAGACAAGAGGAGGAGAAGAAGAACCCCTTTGCTCAAACAAACGTGACACGTATCTTTATCATCTTCTATAGTCTTTTTCATCGCATTGTAGACGTAATCTTCATTTAGTAAGAAGACTGGATTAAACATCAAAGTATCATGACAAGTAATGGAACTATTGAGGAACAATGTTGGACATCCATCCCTTGCGTCAATGAGAGAGATGCACCCCTGATTGATTCTAGTCATGCTTGTACGATACATAAAGACTCACTCTATATCGTTGGAGGTAAGATACTACTTATAGTATGGGTATTATTGCTGGTTGTTTGTTTGGACTTACCAATCCATACAAGATGCAGCATGGTAACACTTTTCTCTTGCTAACAATAAACACGAATGTCGTGTGTTGGTGGTTTTGATTTGATATGCTAGACCGTACCCTTCCCATCGTGCCAATTCGTAGCAGTATGATCCGCCCCGTGACTAACTTTTTCGAATTTAATTTTGCTCAGAACAAGTGGTCGACGATTGTGGGCAATGGTGTCGCTCCTAGCCAGCGCAAGAGTCATTCCACTGTCGTTCACAAGGACTCGCTTTTGGTGTTTGGTGGATATGATGGCGAGAAACGCTTAAACGACTTGTTTTCCTTTAATTTCTGTGAGCACCTGCAAGACAAAGTGGTGAGATTTTGCTGAGTCCGAATTTGACTTGATGTGCTGTACAATGCAGTGACACAGACGTGGACGAATGTGTTTGTCAATGCTGGACAACAACCAACGCCAAGATTTGGCCACGCCGCGGTGGTGTACGGTAAGTGATGCTGGCATACATCTAGTGGATTATGCTGCCCCACAGACCAGATTGACCACTTTTGCGATGGTTAGATAACGCCATGTACATTTTCGGCGGAAGTGACAGTCACTACGACCGTGAGTCCGTGTCAAGCCGTAACTCCAGTGAATATGGCAGAATGGACACCGGTCGCCATATCAACGACATGCACTCGTTTAACTTGGGTATAGTCGCTGGAATGATGAAAAATCCATTGCTCGTGACTTGCTAACTTTCCATCATGTGTTTCTTCGTATGCTAGAAACCAATTCTTGGTCTTTGATTCGTACCACCGGAGAAGTGCCATATCCTCGGTAAGTCACGTATCCATCATGATTTAATAAAATGAGCTAATTGTTTTGAGCTGGTTTACATGTCGGATGCTAGAGAGAAATCGTCACTGTTCGTGTACAAACAGAATTGCCTGTTATTTGGAGGGTATGACCACGACTTAGGCTATCTCGATGATGTTCATGTTTATAATTTCGGTAAGTGGGAGTATTGACGTATGCTTGACTCGAACCATTCATAATCGTTCTGTATCCTAGAAACCAGCGTTTGGTCATGCCTAGAGACAAAGGGAACGGCACCGAAAGGTCTTGGTAACCCATTGGTAGTTTTACACCACAATTCTCTAATTGTATGTGGCGGAAAGTCAGAACCAGAATTGTACGAACTTGATCTTGGTACGAGTTTGATGAGGTTTTTGACGTTGCCATGACTTTAGCTGACTCAACATGCTTACATGCAGAAACAAGCACGTGGACAGTTATTGCTAGCTCCGGTCTAACTCCTAAGAGCAGCGTGCTTTCTGGATGCATTCATGATGGCCATTTGGTTGTGCTGAGTGAAAAAGATGACTTGATCAGCATCAACCAAATTCATTTGCCAGCGGAAAAAGCCAAAACTAAGAGCAGGAAGGACGAAAAACTTGATGAAGAGGGCACAGCGATTGCTCACTTGCGTTCACTCGTCAACAATCAACTAATGAGCGACGTGACTTTTCTCGGTACTGCTAATTGCTTGTTATTCTTATAAACAAGACAGGACCAAGAACTCACACGGATTGTTGTTGTTTACTTCTTCGACTGCATTTTAAGTTGAAGGAACACCGATCTTTGGCCACAAGAATCTATGTGTGCGCTGTGACTACTTCAAAGCAATGTTTACAGGAGAGGTAAGGGTCACATCGTATTGCGTGAAGCGTGCCGGAAAAGCTTTTGGCTAACCATTTTTTCTGATAGATGCTCGAAAGCACAGCTCGGGAAGTGACGCTGTCTGACGTCAGTCGAGTGACATTTCTTTCCCTGTTAGAGTATGTGTATACAGATCGTCTTGTGATTGCGGAAGATGGGGTGAAGGAACTGTTAATTACCGCAGACCGAGTATGTGTCCTTATTGCAAGTATAAGAATTTATGAAGTTTTTTAATATGAACCTTGTTCTGTTAACTAGTACGGTATCGAGAGCCTTAAGCGAGTTTGCGCTGCAAAACTTTTGCAGTCGGTTTGCATCGACAATGTCGCGAGCGTTCTTCAAGCAGCGGATCAGATTAATATTTCTTCGTTGCGCGACGAGTGCTTCGCTTTCACACTTCAAAACTTTGATGCAGTATCAAAAACACCGGCGTTCCATGAAATGGCTAGGACCAATATTGAGTTAGCCTTGCAGATTCTGCAACAGCGCTAAGCTTCATTTCATTGCAACTACAATACAGTTTTTCCTTCCATATCAGTAATGATGAAGCACATGCATTCATAAGTCGATTTACAGCAGTTGCACAAAGCGTTCGTGCCGCAAACTGTAGCTGGTAAAGAGTTTCTGTCACTGTTTCTTCCCCATCGTTGTGGCGACCCGAGTACTTGTGATTGAGTCGGGGTTGAAATTTACTCGAGCGCACGAATGAATCCGTAAACAGTCCTATCATTGCTTTCATCGCCATATGACGACCCGCACAAACGCGCATTCCAGCACCAAACGATAAATCAACACCAGCAGCAAACGCATCACCTGCCACCTCATCCAGTGGAACGAGCACATGGGTGTTTGGAGCAATCCCCATATCTGCATTGCCGTTTGGAAAGTAACGCTCCACAACAGGAAACGGGTGAGCACTGCAAACACATTGCCGAATAATCTTTGGTGTAATCAATTCCGTCACAGGTGCAGTTTTTCTCCACTCTTGGATCACCACAGCAACATCTGTCAAATTAATAGCTGGTGAGATCACAAACGGTTGAAGAATGAGAGAATAATACTCCGACTCAATCCATTTTTCTCGAAACAAGTCGTACAACCTTGGTGTAGACCGAATCTCTTGTAAACACCATTCAATCATTTGAAACTTGATTTTGTCGTCCGCGACGCCTTTCAGTGCAAGTTGTTTCCGCCACTCCCAGGTCGCTTGACAGACAACGCGAAGCTTTTGATCTTCAATCGATCGTTCAAATAGCCACTCGTAAAATCCAGCAACTATGAGTTTAGTCAATTCGAATGCATCAATAATTCGCTCCGTTTGGAGTAATTCATGACTACGGGTCTCAAAAATGACTGTTAATTGAGCAAGTGGCTGCAGGACTTTTGTTACTGTGATAAATTGAGCTTTCATTCGTTGCCATTGTTCTCCACTAACTGATTCAAGTGAAATAATAGGACTCCAGGCTGGTCCAGAGAGCAAAGTTTCAATTAAATCACCTTTACATCCACTTGAATTCAACACTTGAAATGCCAAATGTGGATCAATAATCCATTGAAGATGAACACCTTGGCAACAAGCCGCTAGATGGAGTAGTAACGCACGTAAGACGTGAGATCGAATACCAAGAGTTATGGACATGACAAGATACGCAATACTTATTGCAAGTATAGGCGTCATCGAAAGCCAGATCAAAAGCATTCTAAACAAACTTGTAGGATTTTCGTGGGAAGTTTGTTTTTTAGAATGTGTTTGTTGCAACAGAAGATAAATACCGGTACTTTGTTGATATCGAATTTCTAAATGAGTGAAAGAAATACACACATGAAAAACTGCCTCTATAAAAATCAGGTGTTACGTTCACAAAAACAACAACAATAATTCTTCGTGCAACTTTACCAAGCCTAACAGGAATGATCATGATCACTACAGAAATAACACAAGCTATAGTTATCTATCTATCTACACTCATGCATGCATTAGATGCTAATGGAGTCTCAATATCAGTTTTTCTTGTAAATGTGCTGCCATTTTGTCTACTCAGGATACAGTGATCTCAAACAAATTTCACTTCTCTGTGCGATTGCTGCAGACACTGCAAATAGGGCGAAAACACCAGCAATTGCAATCAGACTTGAATGGGAGGTCGATACATCCTGTCCTAGCTTTTCAATGATACACGACCTCATCTTCGACCAAATATTACACGCTGGTAATTTATCCAAGTGCTTGATCATCAGCTCGCCTTCACCTTCCACTTCAAAACCCAGCCGACGGTAAAAGTTACGAACACCGACGCCTGCAATCACAGCCACCTTCTTATATCCGTGGGCAAGAGCAATCGATTCCGCTTTCATCATAAGTTGCGTACCCAATCCCGTGTGCTGCGCTGCTCCATCGTTCGTAAAACTGCTGACCGCGTCTTTCTTTGACTTGCTAATTGCAGCCACAAGTTGTCCGTACACGTGCAGCTCCCGAATCAATGCAGCACCTTCGAGTTCCGGAAAGACACCACCGCCTGCAGTCTCTGAGAGACGCAACCGTGCAAATCCACAAATCTTCGAGCGATCCGGTGTTTCAAAGCTGATAAAGTACTCATTACCTTCGTTGGCCTCGTACTCTCGAACGACGCACTCCGCAGAGGCAATAGCAGCATCGTCAGTCTTTACCTCGCGGCACCGAATGCACTTGCATGGTGTACCCCGAGCAATCATCTTGCTGCAGATCATCTGACGCAAATTGGGCTCATCCATCCCGCCTAGAATGTACTGGCTCGGAATATCGCGAATCACACGGTTGAGACGAATCCACGGGTGCACCTCGGCTTTCACATCCATCAGTAAATCTATCAGCTTATCATCAGCGTAGGGCACAAAGCTGCCTTCGTCGTACCACTTCTTAATCACGGTCCAAGGCGTTATCTCGCACGGATAGATCTTCCACTGGTCCGCCTGCAAGTCCGGCGACTGCAGCACGTAGTTAAACATGGCTCGGTCCTTCTCAGGACTACTTCCAGGTAAATTCGGCATTAGATGGATATCAGTCTTATAGCAGCAGTCACGCAGCAGCTTAAGCGCATGCACTGCGTCAGCAGTAGTGCAGCCACGATTTATCTTCTTCAAGATAGTGTCATCAGTGTGCTGGATGCCTAATTGCACACGCGTGCATCCATAACGACGGAATCGACGCAGTTCTTCGGGGGTAATACAATCTGGCCGCGTTTCCAATGTAATACCAATGATCTTCACTGCCGCAGATTCATTCTCAAGCTTCTCCTCGTCCAAGCTATGTCGCTCCCGCTTCTCTCTTTCAAAAAATGTATTTGCTGCATAGAATAGATCACGAATAAAGTTCTCCTGATACTCAATAGGATACGACGCCCACGTTCCTCCAAGTACCAACAGCTCAATCTTGTCAACTGGATGACCGTTCATCGCTAACGTTACACACCGGTCACAAAACTGCAACACCGGGTCAAAGTCGTTCCTGTTGGCACGCAGCACACTCGGTTCATCGTGTAAGTAGCTTCTCGGCTGATCTGGTTCATTTGGACAGTAGTAGCAATTCCACTGGCAACTGAAACGTTGTTTCTTGCCACCCACTGCAGGGTACGGACTTGTAAGCACAGTGACGACCAAGACACCAGACTGACTCTTTTGTGCCTTCTTGACCAGCAATTTTTCCAGTGCCAGACCACTCGGCACAACTCCATTTTGCACCAATAGTCCCAACACAAATTTCATTTGTGACTTCTTTGGCAGGCACTTGAATTTGCGTCGGAGTAAAACAAAAAGCTTTCTCCAATTCACGAGCTGTTCCAGGGTTGAGAGTCACTAAGAAGTGAGTCATTTCTTTATATTTAGGTAAATCTTCCACAGGTACGAGCTTGTCCCATACCGAATAAATGTCTTCAAATCCTGAATTTTTCCAATTTGAATCTTGACTGCGCTTGTATGTGTTGGGATCGTTTACATCATCACCTGATTGGACTGATGTGGGCACTTGAATCGACTCAATATCATTAATTATCGTCGGCTGTCTAACGCGTAGAGTGCTAAGACTTTCAGAAGACGAAGATAAAGTACTTTCAATGCACGTGGAGCTATTTAAAACGTTTAAAGCAATGTCGCCCGTTGGATTGAGACGCTGCAAGTTTGTCATGATCAATCTCAATCTGTGGTTGGTCGTACGAGGTTTGATGCTTATTTGAATACAAATTCTAAATACTGTCTACAACCCGTTCTAAATACTGCCAAAACTTTTAGATGGTCTAAAAATGACAGATTCGTCCAATAGACACATATAATAACGCGTTAGGATTGGCTAGTATTCCAACCACTTTATCAGGGCCAGGATCGAAATAAACATACCAACCACCCAACCAACCCACCGTCGAAACGCCTGTAGCATCATGACCTCCCTCCTCGTTGTCGTCGTAGCTCTTGTTACTTCGTTGCTTATGTATACCAAAGCATCTGAAGTACCATCAAAACTTGATAATATCACTGATACGATTGACCTCCGTGCTACTGATTATGTAAACATGAATCGGTTTGACGAGAGAGATATTACTGATATTCCAATTGAGGAATTACAATCGTTGCTCAATGCTGATAAGCAGCAATCAGTTAATAGGATAGTAGAGACCTTGAATCCTCGCAAAGAAGAAGAAGAAGAAGAAAATTTCTTGAGGATTGAATGAGAAAGTCTCTGGATCAAATACAATAAAGATTATCATGTCAAAGACGGTCACGAACAACCGCATCAACAAGTCACTTTTTTCCAGACATTAATAAGCCCAAGAGATGAAGCCGCAGTGAAAGCTCCTCGTATGGTAAGTGTTGCCTATTTGTTGCAGCTGCAATTGGCTATGTACTGGGTACTCCGTCGGATGCTCTCATTTCATGTCTTTGACCTGTTAAAACTTGATAAAGCAGGAGTTTTATTGTTTCATAGCCCACAGTTGAATACCTGGATCAAATATATTGATGTTTTTAACAAGTTTAGCAAGAAACAAGTCAACATTTATGAATTATTGACCCGTTGATATGGTGAAAAAACATTGAAAGAGTTGCACGTTGCGGCGAGAAATGACCCAACGACCAAAAGCATTGCAATTCGAGTGAAAGCTGAAGAGGTTGTGTCCTTGGCGGGTAATTATGAAGTAAGTCCAAGCAGGCTTTTTAAGTTTTTTAATCTCGATAGAGTAGAAGAAGTGCCCCTGTTTGAAAACCCTGCGTTACGCGTGTGGATGCAATATACGCCGAATTACTGCATCGTGCGCCCGAAAGGTCAAGAACCGGTGATATCGATACTAGAAAAAAAAGACGGCGATGTCTCTCTTGCTACTATGATTTCCAGAGCAAGACAAGATAAAGCCGAGTGTAAACGATATTGCTGTAGAATTGGAAGAGTTACTGTTTGACAAGCGGCGTGAAAGAAGCTTTGAAGTGCGAAACCTTCTTTTGTATTTGGAGCTGGACAAGGCACAAAACATGTTTGCAAGTCCACTTTTTCACACCTGGATGAGATTCTGTCAGTATAGCCAACGTTAGCATCCCAACTTCCAGATTTCTAAGGTGGATGTGTTGGTGCGGCTATTTGGTATCAAAGGCCTGCTGGACAAGCTCATACCAGCGGTATATGATCCGCTTACCAATATATTAGCATCGAACATGCTGAGCTTGTTATTGAAAAGCTTGCAAGATTTGCCAGATTATCCAATCGCAGTAACCATTCTGGTGCGTGCAAAGGCGAACGAAGCAGGTTTGGAAGATTGGCTGTTTAAGGACAGCGTAGTGGTTTTAGTTTGCAGAAAGTGTTTCTGCTTTTGAGGATTAACAAGGCAGAAATTTTTTTTGCGCATCCACTTCTATTGACCTGGATGAGATTCCTGAGCGCTTGCAGAAGGTTGCGTTTTGAATTCAAAATTTCGATTACGGGAGCGTTGGTGCAGTAATTTGATAGCATCAAGAGCCTGATGCAAAAGATCAAAACAGCTGAAAAGGACCCGCATACTCAGAAATTTGCAAAAAGTTTGCGGCAGCAACTGCATAATGAGCAGTATCTGTAAAGAGCGACCTACAAGCTAGTAGAATCGTCGTAATCAGGATACTTTGTGGCACTTTGCCATGACTTCAGCTTAACGAATCGCGAAAGAGACTGACCGAAATAGTTTGTTACCCTAGGAGTCTTCATAATTGTCTCGTGCCAGAGCACGACTGCAACGTTTAATAATGGATAATTAACTGGCTTGAGTCCCTAAAAACGGTAAAGTGGCTTGTTTGATTGAGTAGTACGTTTCCCGACGCCTAGTTGCTTACGCTAATGCAAGGCAGTTGGTACACTGCTGCTATTCAAGCGGTGTACCCAATCTCATCCTACACATGTCTGAATCAATTGACAAGTTGACGTGAATAAGCAATTGACGAAGTCAAGTGAAGTCCTGCACGGACACGCGCGGTGGTCACATATTTGCGTTGGCAGCAGAAGCCGATGGGTGTGAGTAAAGGTTGCACAGCACAACTGGACAAGGGGTGCAAACTTGCACGTGTCAAGTGAAGCAAGTTGTCAATAGTTGCGGAAACGAGACACCTACGTGTTGGTTGCTGCGCTTTGAGATTCCTGATGTTGTAGCTGAATTACCGCTTTCAATATAATCTTCAAACATCTTTCCTGGTGCGGACTGGAACTGTTGGTGACACAAAGTCCTTAACCAGCTAAAGCTCACAAAGAATATCATTCTCTTCGGTGGTTGATGCTCGTCGTTCCGTCTCAAAGAAGTCATTGGGAAAGACCATTTTGAAGATATGAGTTGATGAGAAAAAGTCGAGTGAACGGCTACGTTTGTATGCCAACTGCAACACTTTAACAATGTTTAGGTGGAGTACAGCTAGCTGGGAAAGGCGTGACTGTAGATAGCTTCGCCGTAGAGCCGGGAGCTGAATTAATAGTCCATATCGCCGTTTGGTTGGGGTAACGTGACAAGGTTGGAAGGCGACAAACAAAATGTCAGTCGATGCAACAAGCGGTCACCACAATCAAAAGGTAACTTCTAACCCCAAAATACAAGCCACCATAGTTGTCAATTACCTTTGTTCAGCAAGGCTGGCATCAAATATGACCGCATTGCGGTGACGCATATGCCTTCCGTGCGATATCGTAGCACATAAAGTACTGCACATTTTTAACAACAGCTGCTGTTCTAATATTGCCATGCAAGTCTTTCTCTTCTTTTGCTGAGGTCGCTCAAATAAATGTTAAGACATGGCTCCGATCGCACTTCAGAAAAGCATCGTCGAGCTTTATCATATACTGATACTTCTAGCCCATGACTCGTGACCGGCTCATGAACTGTTCGCGCATTGCATCATTTAACACTGTCAAGGCCACGTAGCAGATTTGCGGACCCCAAGAAGTGACAAGTCTAAGTCTTTACTCTGATTAAAGCTGTCAATGAAGCTGTACACTTTTGACACGCCTGAAGGTTAAAGAACTTTATCTTGCCACTACAGGAAATTCGGCTGTACACGATTCACACTAAATTTATCGACTTCCACGACAACAATGTTTGCCCCACATTGTTGCTGTACGTTCTACCACGACTGTGCATCGTTCTCATCTACAATGATTGCGCTATCAGCAAAGCTTTTACTATTCGCCATCGTCGGCAACGTAATTAGGCGACGGACCATAGTACCTGGTTATGTACTATAGTTAAATCTGTAAACATATGATAGTGACTAGCACTAGGTATAGAATAGATAATTCTTTATTGATTTTAAATAAAGATGAAAACGATGCTTTGGTAAGCATTTGTTGCCCAAAGCATATTCCATGTATCTGTCCTGTTGTGGTTGGTTGGTGCGTGTTTGCTTTACCCTCCATTCACGAGACGCACGCCATGCACTTTTTGCTCGTCAGTGGATTGGCTCGCACCATGGGCTCGATGGTGTCAAACGCCAGATGCCCGAAGCGCTTATGAAAGTGCAGCAGCGTGCCTTCTTGTACGTCTCTTGCCACGTCTCTGGTCGCACCCGCTTCGAGCGCCGCCATAATAGTGTCACCTGCACATTGCCTGTCTTGCATTTGTGTCATTTCGACGTACAGCATGTAGCCGAGCTACTGTAGCTACGCTACTTATGCACTATGTGCAGATGCACTATGTGCAGAAGAAGTACTCAGACTACTATAGCAAAGCTACGTATGCGCTATGTGCAGAAGAAGGCAAACTCAGAGAGCTTCTACGTCTTAGGGTGTTTGACCCTCCTAGGCTAGCTCGTAAGCTTGTGCCTATCCGTATTAACAACCGAGTCTCAGAGAGACTAGTATCAAGTTACTGATTCCAATACAGTGCTTACAACACTTGCTATAAGCATCACAGTTCACGAACACTTGCTTTATAAAGCACTTGTCTCAATAGCGCTAGCTCCATCATGGATGAAGCAATGCGTCACGACATTTTTAGGGACGATGACAGTGACTCTACGGGCGGCGAAGCCGAGTCACCTTCGGGTCAAGTAACCCAAGATCATCACGCTCACCGAGCGAGGGACGTCGATCCCAATCTGTGTCGTACCCTCCAAGGGAGACAACCCCTTTGCACCAAGCGCCTCCTCTTCCCTCGCGATAGGGTACAGACGAAGAGGTAACCAACCCTCTTGACGCTGCACAGCGTCGTCAAAATCGATGACGAGGACTAAGCGGCCGCTTTGGCACGGCCCAAACAATCGTTTCCACGACG